ACTATGCTGAGGGATCGTTATCGAAAATTTTATGAATGAAATGGTCATTAGGAATCTATATTAAATCTGGCTTTGAGTGCATTGGATTTCATTGTTTTAGCGGGTCATTTTACATTTGCTTTGTTGTTTACTTGCTTAACAGCTGCCACAAGTCAATCGGACTCTGATGGCGAATCATCTGAGGCTGTTGAAGAAGCTAGTGATCTTGGAGTTGTGGGCGAAGAAGATTCTCAGGATTTTGGAGAAGTGAACTTCGGCCCTGCTCCAGGAGTTGATACTGTCTGCGTTTTTCCAAAAAACAGTGCACGCAGTAAGTGTTTTTTCTTTGATAGTCATACTTTTATGATATCTATTATTGACATTGAAGTTCATGCCTTCCATTGCAGTTGTGCCTGCTGGTGAAGAGACTGAACTACTCGCCGGAGTGAAAAATGATGGTAAACTAACTTTAATCTGTTCTTTTTAATTTCTGCTCTCTGTTGGCAAAGTGGGTTTTTATCTGAGATTATGTTCTTGACTGTAGTACATTCACTTCTTTAATTGAACTTTGTTCAACTGGGAGTCATGCTTGAATGTAATAACAAAGAAATAAGGCCAGCATTCATTAAACCTTTTATGGCTTACCATTGATCCAAAATCTTATTAGTCAATAATATCCTCGACTGTTATTTGTTAATCCAGGGGAATCGAGCTTGAACATTATAGCTATTAAGGCCAGCGTTCACTACACTTTTGATCATCGTATGTTGATTCAAAACCTTACTGGACAGGTAAAACATCCTGACAAGAACAATGTGATTATTAGATAGAGTTGTTGTATGATCTCAACGTTCTCCATTATATTTAATGATTTCAGCATTGTACCACAATTTGATTTGCCTGTGTTTTGATCTCAATCAGTTAAATGCCAAATTTTACAGAGTAGATTTGTTGTGTTGGGAAGATTTAGTTTCACTAACTTGTTTATGAAATATGTGTTATGTATTTTGATTTTAAGATCATGAGTTTCATTAAATTTGTAACCGCCCAAGTCCACCGTTAGCAGGTATTGTTCTCTTTGGGATTTTTCTTTCGGGCTTCCCCTCAAGGTTTTTAAAACACTAGGAAGAGGTTGTGGGGTCTCACAATTCACCCTCCTTCAGGGCCCAGCGTCCTCAATGACACTCGTTCCCTTCTCCAATTGATGTGGGACCCACAATCCACCCTCTTTGGGGCCCAACATCCTTGTTGGTACACCGCCTCGTGTTCACCCCCCATTCGGAGCTCAGCCTCCTTGCTGGCACATCGCTCGATGTTTGTCTCTGATACCATTTGTAATGGCTCAAGCCCACCGCTAACAATATATTGTCCTCTTTGAGCTTTCCTTTTTGGGCTTTCCTTTAAGGTTTTAAAATGTGTCTGCAAGGGAGAGGTTTTCACACCCTTATAAAAAATGCTTCGTTCTCGTCCCCAAACGATGTGAGATCTCACAAATTTCTTGTGGAGATTGGAGAACTTGGTAATCTCCTCGAAGAAGACATCAAGACCACCTAGAATTCTTTGAGTTTGGCTCATTGGTGTTTGGACATCATTAATTTAGTTGTATGTAATGAATATAGAGTTTGGCTCGTGTTCTTTTCTTCTTTTAGACTGTTGTTGGTCAGTGCAAACTTTCTTTTAATATGTTTTGCATGTTAATAGAAACTCTCTTTAGGATATTCATTGCTGGATATCATGCTGCTATTGGTTTGATTCGCATCTGTTGAATAACTATTCCCTCTCTCATCAAGATAATGCTACATAATTTACAACTGAAGTTCGAAGTCCTATCTTTCTTTGGTTATAAAGACTAGTTATGAACTTCCAGTTATATTTTCACTTTTCTTAACACAGCTTCTCTTTCGTTTAACTTCAGCTCGATAATTTTAACTTATATCATCTTCCTCATTATACTTGTAGGTTTTCCACAACGCAACGGTGCCCCCATCAACCCAAGCTTCTTACCCATACATATTTGCTGTCAGCAAGTTTTTGCAGGTATATTCATCATCGTTATTATAGCAGTTCCTTGTCCTCGCAATATGAATTTTCAGTTTATATACTTACCAACCTGCTTTTCTTTATCAATTTTGTAGTTCGAAAAATCTATAAAATGAAATTAACTTAATATATTCCTGATCTGCAGCCTGGAAACTTTGATCTAGTGGGCACCATTTTTTACGAAATAGACCAGACCGCATACCAAAGCGTCTTCTTTAACGGTACTATCGAAGTCGTTGAAGCCAGTGGTCTCATTAGCATGGAGACTGTGTTTTTAGTTACTCTTGGAATTGCCCTTCTCGTTCTGCTTGGCTTGTGGATTCATGGTCAAATACAGCAAAAACTCTCCAAGGTATAGATCTTTCTGGTCTTCATTTGATGATGACTATGCATTCGAATAGTGGATGTTTACTTATTGTCCCAGCATCAGGGCGTGCAATTTTTTCATCAAATATGTAATCTGAACTGGTTTACAAGTATTCCCTCTCACGTTAATATGTGGAGTATGAGAAAGGCGGAGCTGCATGACGTGCATCTTATCTAATTTTAGACATTTCTAGAGATATAAATACTTTTGACATAAAATTCTATGCAATTCCTTGTATCAGAAACCCAAGAGAGTTGCTTCCAAGGTTGAAGTTGGCACAAAAACCATTGACACCTCTATGGATGAGTGGCTTCAGGTTTGTTTTTGTTCCTGAAATTCATACATGTCTTGAGAAAATCTCAAAACTGCTGCTGATATCTTTTGCAATCCTGCCTCCTCTGATCCTTAGGGAACTGCATTCACTCGATCGTCGAGCAAGTCGAAGAAAAAGAACTAATGACGACTCGTCTCCATCCCAGTTGCTTAGTACACTGACAATGTGCAGATTCCTGCAGCCCACATTAGGCAGTTGAAGATTTCAGGAGAGTCAAGGTTGACTAGTTTTGTAAGGAATTCTTCGCATTTTCTGTTTCTTAATGCCGATCTGAACTTAAGTTAGTAACGATACAGTTTTCTAAATCTAGAAAATTTTCATTGAAGCACATGATTATCATAGTTGAAACTTTGTTGAATCACCAATGACATGGGGTATGCAGGCCTCATTTCCTTTTTATTTCTTTTACCTCTACTTCATGGGAAAATTCTGATCATCCACGTCTAGATGTTGAACGATGAATAGTTTTTGTGAGTTCACACATCGGTTGGAAAAGGGAACAAAACATTCCTTATAAGGATGTGGAAACCTCTCCCTAGTAGATGTGTAATGGGGAAGTCAAAACCAAAAAACTTTGAGAGAAAGCTCGAAAGGGAAAGCCTAAAGCGGATAATATCCATTAGTGGTGAGCTTGGACTATTACAAATGGTATCAGAGTCAGACATTAGGCGTTTTGCCAGCGAGGATACTGACCCCCAAGGGGGGTGGACTGTGAGATCTCACATCGGTTGGAGAGGAGAACGAAACATTCCTTACTAGGGTGTAGAAGCCTCTTCCTAGTAGACGTGTAATGTGGTAGCCCATAAAGGAAAGTCCAAAAATTTTGAGGGAAAGCCCTAAAGAGAAAACTTAAAGCGGACAATATCTACTAGTGGTGAGATTGAGTTGTTATAATTTCTCTATAAAATTGTTAGACATTCGTGTTTCCCTCGTTAAATTGCCCCATGTGAGGTCTTGTTGGTATCTTTCATGATTTTATGAGGAGACAATTGGAGAAATGAACTATGCAATAGGAGAAATGAACTATGCATATGATTTTATGAGGAGATTTGGAGAATGGATTGAATTGCTCACTAGCATGGCTAGTAAAAAGTTGGGGGGAAGGAAAACCATGGCTTGGTGGTAAGAAATGAAAGCAAGCTACTAGAGTACTTCCACCGATTGCTGCAAGCAAGCGTAGCAAATCACATAGATAAGTCCCTACCTGCCAACGTGCAAATAGATAGGGTGCGTGAAGTGACAGTACTCTACATGATACTTAGTATGTGATAAGTCTAGATATTTTTGACGTCATGGATTTAAATTTGTCCATGTTTCTTGATGGGGATTACAAAATAAGTCGTAAACAAAGGAACAAAAATTTAAAAGCGTGTAGTTGAAAGGATAAAACGGAGATGGAAGAGTGTAAATTTATTATTTCAAGTATAGTTTGATCCCGCGATCACATCGCGCTTTTTTAAAAATTAAATGCTTCAAGTATCTTTTATTTCTCAATGGCATTGGAGCCCTTCTTTTATTTGGATACCCAAATGATAGCTCTTCCCAAAAGCAAAAGCCATGGTCTATCTACACTCATAGGATCAAATATTCTTTTTCTTTTTTTTTTTCTTTTTAATTTTTTTTTTAGAGAGATTGGCCTCCATGTTTTGGAATAAGGACTCTTTTTTTCTTTTTTCTTTGTGGACCCTACAATGGTTTCATTAACGACCTGTGTCTAAAATTCAAACCTTACTTACTTGCATTACTCTTAAAAGTGACAACTATCTTTACAAACTAATTGTGTTTGTTTAACATGTTTTGTTCTAACTCACGTTCTTTCTAAAAAAAATTAGGTCACTCACAAATATTTGCTCTAAGTCAATCATAAAAAAAAGTGCATCTTGTTGATATAGATAGTCTTATAAGTGAAATTAAACTATAATTATAATTATAACCATATTGTTGGATATATTAGGATTTTTCAATTTAATTTCTATCTCTATAAAATTTAAATTATTTAATTATGCCTTAAATTTTTTTTAATGGAAAAATCGTGCACCGTTGGATCAAACTTTGTCGCAGATCGAAAATGAAATACTCTCTAGATTCTTAAGCAATAATCATTGATAGCGAAACTAACCATGGTAAACTAGGAAGTTTCTTAACCTAACCATGGTTAGACTTATAGCACTGAGATTACACCACGTGTCTTAGATCCAACGGTGGATATTGAGTTTTCATAGATACACACGAAGCTTGACCGCTATATAAAGTGCTTGCCCCGCCGAGTCCAATAATCACGGGTCTTCTTCTTCTACGCTGAGAAATTCAGGGAACTGAAGAGGAGAAAAAGATAAAAGAATGCCAAACCCTAAAGTTTACTTCGACATGACGGTCGGCGGCCAACCGGCCGGCCGGATCGTGATAGAGCTCTATGCCGACGTCACTCCCCGCACCGCTGAGAACTTCCGTGCACTGTGCACCGGTGAGAAGGGAGTCGGCAGGAGTGGTAAGCCACTTCATTACAAAGGCTCGTCGTTCCACCGTGTGATCCCTAATTTTATGTGCCAGGGAGGCGATTTCACCGCCGGAAATGGTACCGGAGGTGAGTCGATCTACGGCGCGAAGTTCGCCGACGAGAACTTCATTAAGAAGCACACCGGTCCTGGTATTTTGTCCATGGCGAATGCTGGACCTGGAACCAACGGATCTCAGTTCTTCATTTGCACCGATAAGACCGATTGGCTCGATGGTGCGCACGTTGTGTTCGGTCATGTCGTTGAGGGCATGGATGTGGTAAGGGCCATCGAGAAGGTCGGATCGGACTCTGGAAGGACTAAGAAACCGGTTGTGATTGCCGATTGTGGCCAGCTCTCTTAGATTGGCGGACGCACTCACTCTACCGTCGGCTGCCCTGCCGAAATGGTATCTATGATGATTTCCTATTTGCGTATGTTGTTTAAATTGATGCGAATGTAGGTCAGTGCGAGTCTCTTCTTATTCTATGGGTCATAGGTTTATGCTACTGCTTGAGTAACGCGCCACTGCCGTTCTACCTTAATTAGTGGTGGTCCTGCGGTGGCTCCTAGACATAATTGGTTGTTCAAACCAAGAACCTTCAATAATATGGCTGTCTTTAGCGCTCTACCTCATAAATCCCTGGTCCCTGTGTTCAACTATTTGCATCTGCATATTCATCCGATCTTTAATGTTAGTTTGTTTAGCTAAACTTGATGTTACTGATTGCGTGGAATTGGTATTAGATTGGGTTGATTTTGCTCTGTTCAAGATGGAAATAGGAGCGTAAAATCTGGTCCATGGAAGTATATCTTTTCTTTGTTTCTATTTGCCATGGTTTGGTTTTGAAAGATCTGGCGTCGAGCTAAGCTTGTTTTTGGAAAATTATAACTATGTTCATTGAAAAAAGCAGGCGGTGGGGGAATATTTTATGGTTTATCTTTTTGGATTCCGGTGGAGTTGGGAAGGAACCGAGATCCAGATTTTGGGATCCGAGTCTATTGACTTCACAGGACTAAAAAAGGGTAGGCGTTGAGGGTTGTTTTAATTTTGCTAAATTAACCAAAATATAAATATATATTATTATTATTATTATTATTATTATTATTTATGCATGTGGTGGTGGCGGATTTTAAAAAAAAAAAAATCAAATTTTATTTAAATATTTGAATGTTTGACAATTTCACCAATAAAATAAAATTTTTAAATGTATTTTTTTAGCTATAAAAAAAATCAATCAACATGCTTTTAATATTCTGGATTTAAATAATGTTCTTCATTTGCCTCTCATTAAGAAAAATAATTAAAATTATGTATTCATAAAATTCGGTCATAAATTGTTAATATATTAAATATAAAAGACTAAATTATTAAAAAAAATAAAAATCTAAATTCTATGTTTTAATTAAGAATATAGAATATTTTAAAAAATATATAATATAAAGGATAAAATATTCCTACAAAAAAAAAATAATAATAAAGGATAAAAGTAGCGTAATAATACAATATTTGAAACATTTTCCTATTGTTTTCACGGCCTTTATTATTTAGACCATTAATTAAAAGATATATTGAAACCAACTCAGCCTTCATATTGAAATTTGGACATTCATTAAATAAAAAATTTGAAACATTTTTTAATTATTGTTTTATATTCTCATTATTAGTTTCATTTAAAAATGGTGACGGAAACACATATACCGTTCCGTTACTCATGACTACATGAGATTATTTATAAAAATTTAATAAATAAGTCTGAGAAAAATAGAATAAGATTCGAACATAAAAAATATTACTTTCATCCTTTGATTCTAATAATTTTTTAATATTAAATTTATCGTTGACATAGTTTCATATACGAATAAAAATTATGCCTTGAATCCTATTTATTTGGGTCATAAATTTAATTTTATCCATATATATATATATTTATTTATTTTTTTTTAATTCCCAACTCGCTAATTAATTTTCATTTTTTTTCAAAAGAAAAAAGCAAAACGTGTATTTATTTATTAATTAATTTATTTATCATTGGGATTAAAATATAACCAGTACGTAGCCGACACGTATTGCTATAATAATGTTGAAACAATGAAAAAAAGAGAGGAAAGAAACTCAGGAAACCTTCCGCCCATTAGAAAAATTCCGACAAGACGACGACGGCAGTGCGTTACGTCGAGAAGTAGTTTTCAGATCTCTTGATCTCTTTTTCTTACCGGAATTTCTTACTTCCGGCGATCCATTGCCTTTCTTCTTTCATTTTTTGGAACTCGTGATCTTCTTTTTGGCGGGAACTTGGTTTTGTATTAGTGGCCCCATAATTCCCTTTCATTGGGCGACTAGATTTATGATTGATTTGTGCTGTTTTTGTTTTCTTTTGCGGCTTGTTTGAATTTAGGAGTGCGATCCGATTCGGGCGGGAGTTTGTGGGTACTTTTTGATTTAATCTCTTAGAATCCTATTGTTTGAGTGTGCGAAGAGAGAGGGAGAGATGACGATTTCGGAGAACACGAAGGGTCTGGTTCTGGCTATGGCGTCGAGTGCGTTTATTGGTTCGAGTTTTATCTTGAAGAAGAAGGGACTCAAGCGTGCCGGAGCCACAGGGGTGAGAGCAGGTCTGTGATTATTACTCACGAATGAAATTTTTGTCTCTTGGTTTTGGTTTTGCTTTCTCGTTGAATTGTTCTTCCGATTTTGAAATGCTTGATTTACCGATTTAGAATTGTTCTACCGAGTGGACTTTTGTTCTTGATCTGTCTATACTTGGGTGGCATTTATTCAAGAATGGATCATCGAACACAGGGAAATTGAGCTTCTAAACGGATGGAATCTCTAGCTTTAAGGGGTTTGGATTTGAAGTTCTTTGCAAACTAGTATGTTACTGGGCAAGCGTTAAGCATTAAATAGAGTTCATTATGAACTGAAAATGTAAAAGATCTTTGATTAATGAATTTGTTTTTTCTCATCTAATGGACGTCTGGTTGATGCTTATAATCTCTGTCTTAATACAGGTGTTGGTGGATATACATACCTGTTAGAGCCACTTTGGTGGGCAGGAATGGTCACAAGTATGTATAATAGTACTATTTATGTCTGATCATTATTGTCAAAAATATGAAGTTGATCTTAATCCTGAGTTTTCTTCTTCCTAAATAGTGATTATTGGGGAGATTGCAAACTTTATAGCTTATATTTATGCCCCAGCAGTTTTAGTCACACCCCTTGGTGCACTGAGCATCATTATCAGGCAAGTTCCTTTCCTTTGAGGTTATTGTACTATTTGCTCATGAGTTCATGGAGGATCTCACATTTCCTTTTTCTATTTGGGCAGTGCTGTGTTAGCCCACTTCTTGTTGAAGGAGAGGCTACAGAAAATGGGCGTGTTAGGATGCTTATCTTGTATTGTAGGATCAGTTATAATAGTTATCCATGCACCTCAGGAACATACTCCTGATTCTGTACAAGAAATTTGGGATTTAGCTACCCAACCAGGTAAGAGTCAATTCTTATGAAGTTCATTGAATGAAATATCATCAAATTTTGTACTTAAAATATGTTTTTCGTAATCCTTGGACAGCTTTTCTAGTCTACATTGCTACTATAGCTTTGTTAGTATTGGCTCTCATGTTGTATTTTGAGCCTCGCTATGGGCATGTAAACATACTGGTCTACTTGGGAATCTGTTCTTTAATGGGTTCATTGACGGTAATTATCCATTTCTGCTAGATCAAACTATTTTAGAACTATTACTTGAATTGCAATTTTCTGAACGTTTTTGGTTAATTCAGGTTATGAGTATTAAAGCTATTGGAATAGCGATAAGGCTTACACTTGAAGGGGTAAGCCAGGTAGCTTACCCACAAACTTGGCTGTTTGTCACAGTTGCAGTAGTCTGTGTCATCACACAACTAAACTACTTGAATAAGGTTGGTGTCATATTACTATGGTGGGCACAGTTGTTTCCTATCCATTTCTTAAGCAAATTTGTAATGGCCCAAACCCATGGCTAGCAGATATTTTTCGCTTTGCCCAGCTATATATCGTTATCAGCCTTCACGGTTTTAAAACACATGTGATATGGAGAGGTTTTCATATCCTTATAAAAAATGCTTTGTTCCTCTTTCCGACCGATGTGAGATCTCATAATCCACCCCCTTTCGAGGCCTAACGTCCTCGTTGGCACACCGCCTGGTGTTTGGCCTTGATATCATTTGTAACGGCTCAAGCCCACTGCTAGCAGGTATTGTCCGCTTTGACCCGTTATGTATTGCTGTCAGTCTCACGATTTTAAAATGCGCCTGCTAGGGAGAGGTTTTCACACCTTTATAAAGAATGTTGCGTCTGCTAGGGAGAGATTTTCACAATTTTATAAAGAATGCTTCGTACCTCTCTCTAACTGATGTGGAATTTCACACAAATGCTTGAACGAGACTGTATATTAATGTTGACTGATGTGATCTTTTTTGTTTCAGGCCTTGGATACATTCAATGCAGCCCTCGTATCTCCTGTATATTATGCCATGTTCACGACGTTGACTATTATTGCTAGTGCTATCATGTTTAAGGTATAAGTTACTTAACCATATAGCTTTAAGGATCTCGGGTATTACATCTGTACAAGTGTAAAACGACGAATCTAAATCGGTTGCGTCGGTCTATGCTGCAGGACTGGTCAGGCCAGAATGCAAACACCATAGTTTCTGAATTATGTGGATTCATTACTGTCCTTTCTGGAACTATTATTCTTCATTCAACCAGAGAACAACAACCAGTCTCCTCACAAGGTATGACTTCTGAACATCTCTTTTACTTGTCCTTTTTGTCCATCAGTTGAGAAATTTTAGCATGGTTCGATATCTAACCAATTATTGCACGACGGCGATCCCGTGTACCTAAGAAATGATTGTGTGTATGCATAATCGTTTAAACCTTACATGTAACCACCCAAACTCACCACTAGCAGATATCATCCACTTTAGGTTCTCTTTCGGGCTTCCCCTCAAGATTTTTAAAACGCGTCTGAGAGGGAGAGGTTTCTACATTTATATAAGTAATGCTTTGTTCTCCTCTCTAACCAATATGAGATCTCACAATCCACCCCTCTTGGAGGTCAGCGTTCTCGCTGGCACACCGCCCGGTGTCTAGCTCTAATACCATTTGTAACAGCCAAAACCCACTGCTAGCAAATATTGTCCTCATTGGACTTTCCCTCAAGATTTTTAAAACGTGTCTAAAAGGAAAAGGTTTTCACACCTTTATAAGGAATGTTTCATTCCTCTATCCGCCCGATGTGGGATCTCACGTTATAGCATCAAGAAGGGTTTAGGACATCTGTTAAGGCGTATCTGAATCTGTGATATGTTCTTCAACAGTCTTTTATATGATATCATTTGGTAAAAGTATGGTCCTATACCCAAGTCTTACCTTGACAAAAAGGGGTCAAATGAGCACAAGAGAACTTCCTGCTGAATGAATATCAGTATCATATACTTGTTTAATCTGGCTGTAGTCTTCATAGAACTTGCACAAGGCTACCAACCCATAAGTATTACCCATCTTTGCAGGATCTGTGGCATGGTATATTACTGGGGATTCAATGAAAGGCATTGAAGAACATCTGATCACCATAAGCAATTCACATTACACTGAAGGATGAACCTACTCTTTTGTGAATGCAATTTGAAAGGCAATGGCCTTAAATGCAAAACGGAAAATATACTCATATGGAAGGATCGGTACAACGTGGACGAATTGGCACATCGATCATGGTCTTGTCAAGACTCGAGAGGTCGTGTCCTCCCCTCAGCTGCTGCGAACCCGAGCTGCTTGATGATCTGGTTAGGATGTTTACACTTGGAATGGAGGGGGGAGATATCTTATCAAATGATCCATGCTGGTTCCAGCATCAGTAGTATAGTCTGTGCCATAGTGTAAATTATAGGTTATAACATTCATTCATATCCCATCTATAGTTTTGAATCTGTAATCTATCTTATTTGATTTTGTTTATAAGCCTTAGGGAATGGATAATAGTTTTGGAGGAAACCTTACTTTATTTTAAATTTATTTGATTTTGTTTATAAGCGTTGGAAATGAAATTATAGTTTATAAGTAGTTTTGGATAGAAACCTTTAATACTTTATTTTAAAAGTTTTAGTTCCAAGTTCAAAAAAAAAAGTTTTATGTACCGTACTAACGGTAGTACTAATGGTTTCATCCAATCCTAACGTTTAAGGTATTTTTGTAATTTAAAAAATTATTATTGAAAGTTAATAGTTCAAAGATATTTTTGAAGAATGTCAAATTGTCCATATAAGAAAATGAGGCCGGGATCATATTTCCCGTTCCCATTTAGGTTATACAGAAAATTTTCACCACCCGACCCCTCCGAGGCAGGTCCACTAAAATAACTTAAGCTATTCTAAACTTGCTCCAAATGGATGCGAACTTACAATTCATCGTAAAATGCCAATTACTATTAGAAAAATGAAAAAGTTCGATCACTCTGCCATTGTGGAACTAAAAAAAACTTAAAATTTCCTCATCAAAATTTGTATATTCCTTGAAAGGCATTTAAAAATTTCTTCAACCCCATCAATCAACCAAGCATTACCTTTAGATCCCATGAACAAACAAACAAATCCACCGAACAGGGACGGCAATGCCTTCCTCTTGGGTTTGGACTTCATCCAATCTTCATATTTTTAATGTACAACAAAACAGTGCTACAACCAAACCCTCCATTTAAGCTTCTATATATTATCATAAAGCCATGGCTTTTACTTCAGAACTTCCATTGAAGCTCCAACTTCTCACTTCCATGGCCTGCTCCTCCTGGCTTCTGATTATTGTGGCCTTTTGTTTGACGGTGCCACGTTCGGCAGCTGTTCGAGGATTTTCGATCAGAGAAGCCACAGTACCTGACCTCCATCTAGCTTTCAAGCGAAACGAGCTCACGTCGAGGGGCCTTGTCGAGTTCTACATCGGAGAAATTCGCAGACTCAACCCGGTTGTCCATGGTGTCATAGAAATCAACCCAGATGCCTTGCTGCAAGCTTACAAGGCTGACAGAGAGCGTGAGGCTAAGAAGCCTGGATCGCTTTGTGGGCTGCATGGAATCCCAGTTTTATTGAAGGATAGCATTGGGACTAAGGATAAGTTGAACACTACTGCTGGATCGTTCGCGTTGCTTGGCTCTATCGTGCCCCGTGATGCAGGCGTGGTGAAGAGACTAAGAAGGGCTGGAGCCATCATACTGGGAAAGGCTAGCTTGAGTGAATGGGCTGACTTTAGGTCCCTTGCTGCTCCTGCTGGTTTGAGCGCTAGAGGTGGCCAGGGAAAGGTGTGTTGCTTTGATTTTAGGTCCCTACCTTCAATGTTAAGTACAAAAAACGTGTAACAGTCCAAACAAATATTGATCTCTTTGAATTTTTCGTTCTAGACTTCTCCTTAAGGTTTTAAAATGTGTCAATTACGGAGAGGTTTTCATACTCTTATAAGGAATGTTTCATTCCCCTTTCTAACCAACATGGGATCTCACAATCTACACCCCGCTAGCAGATATTGTTCTCTTTGAACTTTCTCTTCTAGGCTTCCCCTCAAGGTTTTAAAACGTGTCCACTATAGAGAAGTTTCCATACCCTTATCTAAGAAATGTTTCATTCCCCTCTCAAACCGACTTAGGATCTCACAATTCACCCTCTACTAGCAAATATTGTTCTCTTTGGACTTTCCCTCGAGGTTTTAAAATGTGTCCACTAGGGAGAGGTTTCCACACCCATATAAGGAATGTTCTATTCTCCTCTCCAACCGATGTGGGATCTTACAATCCACTCCTCTTAGGGGCCAGCATCCTCGTTGGCACATCGCCCAGTGTCTGGCTCTGATACCATGTGTAAACAGTCCAAACCCACCGTTAGCATACATTGTCCTCTTTAGGGTTTCCCTTTCGGGCTTCCCCTCAAGGTTTTAAAACATGTCCACTTGGGAGAGGTTTCCACACCCTTAAGAGCAATGTTTCGTTCCTCTCTCCAACCGATATGAGATCTCACAAAACCGTTTCTTTTGTACAATTTTTTTTTTTTTCAGAATCCATATGTTTTATCAGCATCACCCTGTGGATCCAGCAGTGGACCCTCCATATCAGTTGCAGCAAACATAGCAGCAGTGTCAATAGGAACTGAAACGGACGGCTCTATCCTCTGTCCAGCTAGTTTTAACTCAGTCGTCGGCATCAAACCGACCGTCGGCCTCACCAGTAGAGCAGGTGTCATTCCAGTCTCCCCAAGACAAGACACTATTGGGTGAGCAATCTGGCATCCATATCAGCAAAATATTCTACAGAGACTATAAGAACTGAAACTTTGTAACCTTCACATGTGAAAACAGGCCAATCGGCAGGACAGTGACTGATGCTGTAATAGTTCTTGACACCATTGTAGGATTTGATTACAATGATGCAGCCACCAGAACATCCTCCAAGTATATTCCATACGGTGGCTACAAACAATTCCTCAATGCAAATGGGTTGAAAGGGAAACGATTGGGCATTGTTAGGAACCCTTTTTTCAGCTTCTTCAATGATTCAGCCATCACTCAAGCTTTTGAGGATCATTTCAACATTCTAAAGTAAGAAAACCAACTTCCCTAGCCATGCAAATGCTAATCATTCCATAAACAGGTTCATATTCACTTAAAACAAAAGGCTTGATCCATTAACGTGAGATCTCATATCGATTGGAGAGGGGAACGAAGGATTGTTTGTAAAGGTGTGGAAACTTTTCCCTAATAGACACGTTTTGAAGGGAAGCCCGAAAGGAAAATCCCAAAAAGGACAATATCTGCTAGCGGTGAGCTTGGACTGTTACAAATGATATCAGAACTAGACACCAGACGGTGTGCCAGCAAGGACACTGGGATCCCAAGGGGGTGGATTGTGAGATCCCACATTGGTTTGAGAGGGGAACGAAACATTTCTTATAAGGGTGTGGAAACCTCTCCCTAGTAGACATGTTGGTGGATTGTGAGATCCCACATCGGTTGGAGAGGGGTACGAAACATTGCTTATAAGGTTGTGGAAGACCTCTCCCTAGCAGACGCGTTTTGAAGGGAATCTCCGAAGGGAAAGCCCAAAGAGAACAATATCTGTTAGTGGAGGGTTTGGGCTGTTACAAATGGTATCAGAGCCAAACACCAGGCGATGTGCCAGCAAGAACGTTGGGCTCCAAGGGGGTGGATTGTGAGATCCCACATCAGTTGGAGAGGAGAACAAAACATTGCTTATAAGGGTGTGGAAGCCTCTCCCTAATAGACACGTTGGTGGATTGTGAGATTTCACGTCGGTTGGAGAGGGGAACGAAACATTTCTTATAAGGGTGTAGAAACCTCTCCCTAGTAGACTTGTTTATAAGGGTGTGGAAACCTCTCCCTAGTAGACGTGTTTTAAAACCTTGAAGGGAAGCTGGAAAGAAAGGGAAAACTAAATATGACAATATCGGCTAGCAGTGGACTTGGGCTCTTTCTTACCATTAAAAAAAATCAATTCAACATGAACACAAACAACCTATCTTCTAAAGGAATAGTTTACAAGCCTCTTAACTCAAATTATATTCCATTGTTCTTCTAGTAAACACTAAATCTAACATTGTTGAAACTGAAGGCAAGGTGGTGCAGTTTTGGTAGACAACCTAGAGATAGCAAATATAGATATCATCTTAAACGTGACTGCAAGTGGAGAAGCAGCGGCATTGCTAGCAGAATTCAAACAATCATTGAATGAGTACCTGAAAGAGCTGGTGGCTTCCCCTGTTCGAAGTTTGGCCGACATAATCGCCTTCGATAACGCAAATCCAGATCAGGTAACACAATATTCAATCCATTGTTCATCGCATAGTAATCGCATTCATTCGGAATCGATTCGAATCATGGTTGTGCAGGAACTGCTCGACGTTTTCGGCCAGGAGATTTTTCTCGCGGCCGAAGCCACAAATGGGATCGGCGACGTGCAGAAGGCGGCTCTGTTGAACTTGGCGAAGCTGACGAAGGATGGGTTCGAGAAAGTGGTGGAGGAGGAGCGATTGGATGCGGTGGTGACGCCAGGTCCCGCCATAGCTACGGTGCTTGCAATTGGGGGATTTCCGGGAATCAATGTTCCGGCGGGGTACGACGGCGGAGGAGTTCCATTTGGGATTAACTTTGGAGGGTTGAAGGGTTCAGAGCCGAAGCTGATTGAGGTTGCTTATGCGTTCGAGCAGGCCACTCTGATAAGAAAGCCTCCTTCCTTCAAGCCTTGAAGTGAATCAAATTACAACTTCTTCATCAATTGAGCTGTGTGTTAAGATATTGGAATTAATTGGCATTTTAGCTATTGAACTACCATGTGTTGCAATGATTTAACTTAATTTAAACAAAATTCTTCGTTTTCTCATATTATGTGACCAAAAGTAGGTTATTTTGTGTTCGTTGAGGCCTCCCAATCCACCCTCTACGAGGTATAGCGTTTTTGTTGGCACTCGTTCCTCTCCCCAATCGATGTGGGACCCCCCAATCCACACCCTTCGCAGTACAACGTCCTTGTTGACACACTGCTTCGTGTCCACCCCCTTCAGGACTCAGCCTCCTCGTTGCCACATTGCTCGAAACCTGGCTTTGATACCATTTGTATCGACACTAAGCCCACCGCTAGCAAATATTGTCTTCTTTCGGTTTTCTTGGCTTTGATACCATTTGTAACGACTCTAAGCCCACCGCTAGCAAATATTGTCTTCTTTCGGCTTTCTTCTTCAAGCTTCCCCTCAAAAGTTTAGAACATGTCTAGGGAGAAGTTTCCACACTCTTATAAAGAATGCTTCATGTGAGATCTCACAGAATCACTTAGTGTAATGGCTAGTAACATTTAAAATATACTATATAGGAGAAGGAAAAAAAACGTGTAACACCGGGCACTATTCAGTAGAGGAGCATTGCATCTTACATCGTTCAAACATGCATTCATTAGACACAAGATGCAACTTACATAAAAAAATGTGTCATTGACTCGTTCATAAAGTGCTACTATGTTTGTAGGACTTAACATTCAACCGTTACGCTAAACAAATGTAAGTCATGATTTTGCGCTATAACACTTGGTTGCCATAAGTAATCAACATAGCTTCCTTTTCTTATACATAAAGATGAAAAGGAAATAAATATATACTATCTTTTATAGATAAAAACCACGTTCACTCTGGACTTAAATTTATTGACTATTTTCATGTTGTAGTATCAATCAATAAGCTAGCTCCAGAGACCGATCCTAGTACAGTTCGACTCAATAATTTTAAAAAACGAATGATAAACAATAGCTTCTCCTGAAAATAACTCGACTCAATAATTTTAAAAAACGAATGATAAACTATAACTTCTCCTGAAAATAACTCGACCCAATAATTCGTTTGCAAATGATCATTGAAAGTAACTCGACTCAAAATTTCAATCATGACAAGAATACTACAAATAATTCGATTAAGGAAACAAACAAAAGTCCCTAGGATCAGACCAACAACATCAAGCTAGAAGTGATGTGGACGCTTTTGAACAGTACATACATTGGCAGGTAGCAGGCAGGCACACTCTAAATGGAAGTTTATAATAATGAATCTGAAGAGAAGGGAAGAGAAGATGCCTGTTGATCAAAGCTGAATCAAACAAAGCAGCTACGACAAGGGCACATCAGCTACCACCTTCTTCAGTGGCCACACAGCCGCTAGTGTATCTCAGCTGGCCACTGAAACTGACTCAAACACACAGCACCTGAAACAACCGACCAGTTTGACAGCAATTACTCACCTGTCTCATATACAAGTTTGGAAGGGAGCAATCAATCACCTGCACTAGCTAGATCCTAGATCGTGTGACTCCAATAATAATCTAGAGAGGTAAACGGCCTAAGTCTACTACGAGCAAATATTATCCTCTTTGAGCTTTCTCTTTCGAGTTTCCCCTCAAAGTTTTTAAAACACGTCTGATAATGAGAGATTTCTACATCCTTATAAAGAATGCTTCGTTCTCCCTCTCAACCGATGTGGATACCTCTCCCTAGCAGACGCGTTTTAAAAACTTTAAAGGGAAGCCCGAAAGGAAATGCCCAAAGAGGACACAATATCTGCTAGCGATGAACTTGTGCTGTTACACGAGATTTATCCTCAATTGAATCATCAATCGACATTGTATGAGCAAAGTTTGCAAATTTGTGGACTAATCAGAGCATCATGACATCCAAAAACATGGATTATCATCAGTAACAAACAGTTCAAACTTCGATGTGCCAAGCTGAAATGGCTCGACATGGGCTACAAAGATTTGGTCGTTTCAGAGTTTATCTTCGATGTGCCAAGCTGAAATGGCATCGGTTTCTTTCCAACATTCAAAAGAAAGATGAACATTACACCCAATACCAAGCAAACGGAGCAGAGTAATGGAACATAGTAGCGTGTACCGTGTGATGCCAGTGAAACTCAACTCCAGAAAATATATATTTTGCATAAAAGCATGACTTAATTTAACAAGAAACACAACTTGAGCAGAACAAAAATACCAAATATCCTATCGAACAACAATACCTAAAAGCACTACAGAAGGAGAAAGCTTGTGGGAGGAGAAGAGCTTAGAATCACTTACATTTTTGAAGCTAAACGGTATGAGACTGCCACTTAAAAAACGTCATTATTACCTATATTGCAAAAATTCAGCTGCATCTGTAACCTAAATTCATTCCATCATTGTTCATCCTGCCAGTGTTGATAACAACCCAGAAGCTTTCTGAATAGAGGAAGGAGACCAACAAGAGCTAACTGAAGCTGTTCCGAGCTGTTTAACCGAACGCTGACTTGCCCTGCCCCCCTGTTATTCAAATTCATACGAGCAATCAGGTTTGTCGATCGTCCAATGGGAACTTGAGATTGTATGTTGCAACCAATAGCAAGATCTCCATGCCAATCCATAATCGATAGCCCAAGAGTCGAAAGGGAACGACCCAACGGATAATCTTTATCTCTCAATTGAGCCTCCAGGCTGCCACCATAAGCTACATCTCCCCTACCAGTCATTGCACCCCCAGTCACAACTAAACGAAATCGCTTATTAGCAATCAATTTATCTTCAACTTTGAATCCTGCAGACAAGGCATCGCCTAATAGGGCAAATGACAGACCAGCAATTGCCTTGTTCTTCCTAAAATTAATAAATGTTGTCTCACCACGTAATGTATAGGCCAAATCCTTCCCAACGGTCTGCATATCAAAACCGACAGAAGACGCTTTAGTTTCGCCATGCTTTATCGTACTACTCATCTCGATTTGAACATTTGCATCCTTCTTATCCTTGGTAACTTGACCACTAAAAGAGATGGGTATTGTGTCTTTGACGACGAACAACTTCTCTGCATTTATACCTTCATAACCAACATCATGATCCCATCCATGTGTTTCGAGTACAGGCCTTATTAGCCATTGGTTAGAGGAATCGAGATAACGATACCGGTGAGTGGGATTATCAGAATCAAAGGAAGCAGGTAACGCCAAATCAGGCATGGGAACTGGTACTGATGCAGCAGCACCACTATCTTCTTCTACATTATCACTAGAGTTGCTAGGTCGATCTTTTGCCTCGGCAGCCATTTTCTTCAACATCTTCCTCCTCATTTTCTCTTCTTTTAGTTGCTTCTTCATAAAAAGTTTTTCCCTGTATTCCAACTCATCAAAGTAGGCCTTCTTCTGTTCTTTGGAGAGCTTCTCCACCTGTGCTTTTTTCAATCGTTTAAAAGGTGGCAATTCATCATATTCAGATTCATTTTCAGAATCTGACGATTCATCAAGGTCATCCTCAAGACCATCATCATCAGCAAATTGTTCCTCTGGCAGTTTCACTTGAGGTCTGGATTGAAGAAGGGAAGAAAGAAGGAACGGTAAAGGAGGTGACTTCGACCGAGGAGTAAATGGCCTCCCAGGTGGACTATCTTGCAACTTCAGAAGAGTGTTAGCTTCGGCCAAAATCTTCGAGGCAAAAGAGAGCAATAACAAATGAGGTTTCCAAACCTGGCCATTTGGCAATACCCTTTGCCCAGCTCTGTTCGTTCTACAAGCAGAGTGATTCTCCACTAATGAGACGGGGTTCATAAGACGCATATCCCCTGCAGCCTGGCGTATGGCTTGCTGTACAACATGAGATCGCTGAGTAACGAACATATCGTAACTAGAAGCAGTGCCATTTGGACCATCAGGTGGAGCAGATGCTGCATGAGTAAGAACTACAATTGCATTGAACCATATAGATGGTCCAAATATTTCAGTAATTGTACGCAAGAGAGGCATGTCACTGAAATCTCGGCTTTGCATGTCCAGCCTATCAAGATACAAAACAATATCTGGAGGCGTCTTCTTTATAAAATTTTTAACAGAGAGAAGGATCTTCTCATTCTGGCGCTGGTCTGACCAAGAGGTAAGAAGGCCAGGAGTGTCGATGACCCGTACTTTGATCCCCTGCACAGTTCCCACAACATCTTGAACCTTTTTTGTGCCCATTTGAAAAGCATCAGTACTGAATTTAACTTCATCAAATATGGAGTTGATGGTAGCGCTTTTACCCACACCTGTCTTTCCAAGAACCATGATCGTACAAGAGAAATCAAGCGGTTCCTGCCCAGAAGCCTCCAGTTGCTCTGCCATGGCACTGGCACGGTCAAAGCTGAAGGCACCAACCCGACCTCCATTTCTTCCTCGAAGTTGCTCAGCTAATCCAAGACGGTATAGAACTTGTGCCACAACAACATTGTGTGGAGTTTGCCCAAGCCTATGTGCAAGACGCAAAAATTTCACTCTTATCATCTGGAGTTGCTCACGAGTATCGTCATTTTCCTCAGCATCCCCATTAACATGATCATCAATTTGTTGCAATTGAACATGAGATACAGTACCGTTTACTCGAGGTGGCTGCACCACCCGAGGGGCAGGTTCCAACAATGGAGCAGCCCGCCCAAGACCAGCTGGATGGGCAGGAGGAGTGGGATTTGTAGATTTTCCAGATGATGAAGCAATGATTGATGAAGGTTGAATCTCTGGATCCCTTTTCACTTGGGTTCTGTCCTGTCCAACCTTATCTTTACTCTCTGTCTTTTCAAGCCCTCCCGTGTCGAGGCCATTATTGGAACTATCGACAGGATGCTGTTGTCTTAATGTATTATCTTCCTTCACAGTCACATCACTTTCACCACCCTGGGTCTTCTCAATTTTCTCATCTGCTATCTTTTCAGAAGCTGAGATATCCTTAACCGTCTCCAGAGAAATTCGATTTTCACCCACAGGTTCATGTTGATCAACAGAAGTAGTACCATTCAAACCCCGAGATTCTCTCAACTGCACTTCTGTGTCTTTCCCAGTAGAAGCATCTTGCACTTCCTCAGAGCTTCCTTCATCTTTATTATCATCGTTCTTAGGATCGATACCAGTTGCAGCCATTTTTATTTCTTCACTCTCATTGTCAGGCAGTTCTAGATCAACATGAGGAGAATCATCCCTTAGCTCAGAATTCACATAATCTTGATTGTCCAAATCAAGGACAGTGGGTGCAACTAATGGCTTCTCGGTGTTCTCAACATGATCTCTAGACTCTGTAACTAAGCTTTTCTCATCCAATTCTATGCCTTCGCTGTTTTCAGTCAGAATCTCACTGGAAGAATTCAGGTTAGTCCCACCAACCATATCGGCAGTCTTCACCCGTTCATCATCCGAAGGTGGAGTCACATGCAAAACGTCACTATTTTCCTTTTCTGACTTCATACTCGACAAACCGTATTTCAAATCATCCTCATCCCCACCCTTCAGCACTTCAACCTCCGGGCTAGCACCGTTCTCCAATGTCTCCTTTCTCAAATCATCTCTACCGCAGTCCAACTCATTATCCTTCCTCTCATTCAACTCAGAGGTCACTGCTTCCTCTTCAATTCCTCTTTCATCAATCTTAGAAGCCACAACTACATTGTCGAACAATTTCTCGCCCAAGTCTTCCTTCTCCTTTTCAGAATTCACATCTTGCTCATCCACCACCGTGTTTTCATCGACCCCACTAGAAGCCTCCATTGCCTCTTCAAACTTCTCTTCATCGTGCACACTACTAGGGCGGTCCAAAATTACTGCAGATACAAAATCATTGACTTCTTCTTCTCCAACATCACCATTCACCGAACCATATCTCGGACTCTGCTCTAGTAAATGCTCTTTCCCATCTAAAGCCTCCTCAAAAACATCTTCCCCTTCCAAATCCCTAGATTCGTGAGCACCAAGTACAACTGTTTCATCTACACAATACGATGAAACACCATCTTCCCCAAATTTCTTCTCTCCATCGTCCAAGCCATGAGCAATCTTAACCCCATTTTCCATCACAAATCTAGAACCTCAGCCTCAAAGTCCTACATGCACCAAAACCAAAAATCCGCATCAAACCAAAGACAACAACAATCAGAGAATCCACCACAAACTCAAAATTCAAAAAACCAAAAAAATCGAAAACCCTAGTGCCTAAATCCAGAAATGGACAAGTATTCCACATACTTAATATCGAAAACCCGCAACAAAAACGCCCAATCCTGCGTCCTACTAATTCAAAGCCATTAGATCCTTCTTGAGCAACAATGTTTCGAACAGGATTTCACATGAATCAAACCAAAAGCAGATGAGCCCAAAAGAAAAACAAACCACGAACATCAAATATCTAATCAACAAAAACATAAGAAACTCACCAGATTTTGAAAGGTGGGAAAGAGAGAGAAATCTTTTAGGTAGAGAAAAAGGTTCTTAGAGAGAGAAAAACGAGTCTGTGATTGTTCCAAGTTTATTAAGAAAGGAGGAAGAGAATCCTTAATCTTCCTTCTCCATTGCTTATCTAACTCGGTATATCAAAAATATGAAGAAATTAGAGACATAGACTCCAATCGACGGCTGAAATTTTATCACAGTATTTTAATCGGACGGTGGAAAAGGGAGGATTATATCGCAAAGCGTGATGACGTGGACATGACGGTTGAAAAAGATTGCCTGTTCCGGTCCTAGATCAAGCAGCGTTCAATTGTTCACGTGGGGAGAATCTGGGCCGTTCGTGGATTGTTTGGTATTCAAATTGAACGGTGATCCGTTCGTGGATTTCCACGGGTGTTTCACGTGGCTGATACTTGAATACCTTTTTGGGAAATAGATTTGGTGGAATGAACCCTTCGAGGGCATTTCTGGTTGAAAAGTTAGCATTTTACGTGTCAATTTTTTTTCTTTTTCTTCATTGAAATAATTATTTGTTTTTAAAAAATAGAAATATTATCGTTTTAAAGTTTCATTTCCGATATTAACCTCTTTAGGCTTCCACGTCCTACTAGATAAATGTTTCCACTCCCTTGTTATGAGTAATGTTTCGTTCCCTAGTTATGTGAGATCTCACAATCTACTCCCTAAAGGGCCCAGCATCCTCGCTGGCACACTACTCGATGTTTTACTCTGATATTATTTGTAACATCTAAGCCCACCATTTGTTCTCCTCTCGGACCGATGTGAGATCCCACAATCCACCCCTTTGAGTGCCCAGCGTCCTCGCTGGCACACCACCCCGTGTTTGATACCATTTATAATAGCTCAAGCACACCGCTAGTAGATATTGATCTCTTTGGGTTTTTCGGGCTTCCCCTCAAGGTTCTAAAACTCGTCTACTAGAGAAAAGTTTCTACACCCTTATAAGAAATGTTTTGTTTCCCTCTCCTACCGATGTGAGATCTCACAACATAACTTCGATTAACTTGAATATAGTGTACCAACACGAATTATTTTGACAATAAACCCTAGAATTAGGTCAATTCACTGATGTATCGAGTCAATACTATTTGAACGAGAGGTGTAGTTTCTAAAAATATCAAATATAGAATCGTGCTATCGAATAATAATTCCAATCAACTTTATATATCAATCGTGAAACATTAATGTTCAAGACAAAAAGGGGTGTTTGGCCTTTAATGAAATGTTAGGTTTAGGATAAAACTAATCCATAAGAAAACGTAATATGACACGTTTTGACCATCTTTTCATGCACCAACCTCTCGACTACCTTTCCATTACTATGTTAGTAAAACATCAATATCACATGTTTCTATCACACAATAACGTAACTTTTAAAAAAACCATACTTAAAAGAGTCACTGTTCCGTCGCATCCTATTAGCATCAATTATACGTATTGCTCAACAAAAATTTAGACTCAAAGTCGTGTCTCGTTAACAACGGGACAAGTCGACTAAAATCTGTAAAGGCAAAACGGGAAACGAAATATTATCCTCCAAAGCCTCACTTATATAACGGGATAAAAAATTTGGAGGTAGTTTTAGCAAACCCACCAAAAGAAAAAATTTTAACAAGCTAAACTATACTAGCATTAAAATAAAAAAAATCTTTGATCTTACGCGAAGGTTTCAAAACTATTTTTGAAGTAAAAATTTATTAGAATATCGAACAAAAATTGAGACTTAAAACCATGCGACATAACATGTCCTATCACGTTGTTTCAAGTCTCAACTTTTATCTTAAATTTCTAGCAAATTTCTACTCTTAAAAATAGTTTTGAGACGTTTATAAAAGATCAAGAACAATAATGTAACTTCGAAAATAGTATGAAAACGATAAATTTCTGGAGTATTCTTTTTTGTAATATAGCCCTTATAAACTTAGGCTGAAGATCCATAGACTTGATGAGACCCACCTACCAAAATACAAACAGAAACCAGTTGAGGTATATGTTGAACTAATACAAGAACCGTGAAAACATCGAAGCATCGTCACGTCGAGCCGATGCAGACAGCAGGACAGAGGGTACAAAGTGAAACAAAGGGGCAGAAATGAGGATGAGTATAACAAAGAAACAGTAATTCTAGCAGAAATGTGGGTCGAGCCGATATGTGAAGGGTATGACGAGGGGCTGACTTTGGTACGAGCCAGGGCTATGTATTGAAAACAAACTAGTAATGATACAATGGTAGTTTCAAGACGTCCCTACTACAAATCCATGACTGTTCTAGCAGAAGACCAGAATTCAAGCTTTTCAAAAGATACAAAAATAACTAGATTTGTTGAGTGTCACAAGGGCGGAGCTAAGAAGTTCGTAAGGATCAAAATTGTACCTACTAACTTTTTGTATAAACGATCTTTTAACTTACTCTCGTTTGCTCCGACCCTGCGAAGTGTGCAATACAAGTGTCGTGTTGTGCAGCTTCCACATAAATAGGATCTGTTTATAGGTTATACGACTGTATCCTCGAGTTCTAAGGATTGTTCGAGGCAGAAGGATCTCCTATAACACCTTTTCTTTACAAGATTCAGCTTTCAGGAATTCCTCTAATCGGTGGAAAATCTGTGAGAATGAGCCTGCAAGGGACCATGGTCATACTACTGTTTCATTTGGATCACACATAGTATTGAAAAAATTAGCAGGGTCGTTTTCTCTCTAATTCCTAATAACAATGCTTAGTTGTAATAGCCCAAGCCTACCGCTAGCAGATATTGTTCTCCTTGAGCTTTCCCTTCTAGAATTTCTCTTCTGGGCTTCCCCTAAAGATTTTAAAACGTGTCTACTAGGGAGAGGTTTCCACATCCTTATAAGTAATGCTTCGTTCTCCTCTCTAACCAATGTGGGATCTCACAATCCACCCCCCTTGAGGGCCAGCGTCCTTGCTGGCACACCTTGCAGTGCCTGGCTCGGATATCATTTGTCACAACTCAAGCACATCGCTAGCAGATACTGTCCTCTTTGGCCTTTCCCTTCTGGGCTTCCCCTCAAGGTTTTAGAACGCGTCTACTAGGGAGAGGTTTTCACATCCTTATAAGTAATGCTTCGTTCTTCTCTCCAACCAATGTGGGATCTCACAATCCTCCCCCCTTGGGGCCCAGCGTCCTCGCTAGCACACTGCCCGATGTCTAGCTCTAATACCATTTGTAAAAGTTCAAGTCCATCATCGCAAGCAGATATTGTCCTCTTTGGGCTTTCACTTCTAGTCTTCCCCTCAAGGTTTTAAAACGCGTCTATTAGGGAGAGGTTTCCACATCCTTATAAATAATGTTTCGCTCTCCTCTCCAACCAATGTGGGATCTCACATTAGTGTTGTGTGAGAGTATGATGTATTGGGAATATTAGTAGGGTATTAGTACGGGTATAGTGGCAATTAGCTAAGAGTCTTGGTTATAAATAGAGGTAGTCACAAATCTTAGAGTGGGAGGTCATACTTCGGTGAAATCAGTCCATTGTAGGTGGCTTGCACAAGAGACATAGCCCTTCTCGAAAGGCTATTCATATTATGCATTGCAATATAGTTTTATTTTTGTGTTTCGTGCGTTTTCCGTGTGTTCGAGATCCTAACATGTTGATCCTTGTGCAAATATTCGAGCCAAACGTGTGGAAGAGAGTATAAAATGAAAATAGACTCGAAAGATTAAATCTACACCAACCCAAGAGCTGGAGAAGTCCACAGAAACAATAATCAAAAGAAAGATCTAAGGCATGAGTGAGTAGTACCTGAAGAAGGACTACTCTTATGATGCAAGGAGCCTTTCACAAGAAGCGTGCCAGGGATCTGTTGAAAGACCTATAACAAAGAAAATTGCCCCAATAAAAAAGTATGGGCCAAACTTTAACTCCTAAGCATTAGTGATGAAGCTGCATAACCACAAAATGACAAGCGGGAGATACCGAAACTCGAAAACACAGATCAGTTGAGGGTTGAGGCTCGGATTTTTCCACAGGTACTCCACTGGCACCTTTGTCGACTTCATATGCCCCATTCTCGAGAATTGCTCGGCAGTGATCGTTAGATGCAGTAACCTACCAAAACATGTGTGGTAACAGACCTTGTAAGCATGATATGATCACTTGCAAAGATGAAAGAGAAGCCAAGTTAACAACCATACATCTACTGTAAATGAAGAAGTGTTCAGTTTACAAGAAGCTCCACCCGCGCTAAGAAAACGTTCGACTGATTGCAGTATACTCATGGCACTGACTTGTGGAAGGAGGCCCTGACAACAGAAAGATATCAAAACTGAGCTACATGGGAAATATTTGATCGACAAATCTGAAATGTGTATAAGCCGAACATGAAAATTAAAAAAGCTCAAACGTTTATCCACCTCGAGCATGAAAGACGAAACGCTCTTGTTAGTGACGTGCGGAGATATAATCTTCCGTCCTGCAGGCATAAAAGACCAAGCAAGTCCCCACCGGCAAGTTTGGCCTTGGACGAATTCTGTAGTCTTGACAACCGTCACTCCGACTTTCCAAAGTTTAGATATCAGGAAGCTGAGGTTTGATTTCTTCCCAATCATTGAAGTATACCACCTGCAAAGATCAATGAAGATAAGATTCCTAAAAGGAGTATTGAAGAATCAGAGGCCATTTTGCAGTAGAAATACCGGAAAGTTTGCTTCAAGACAATGCTGTCTTCGATCATACGACTGATAAATGCCCTCTCCCCGCCCGGACAAACCATCTCTTGTGGAGTTCCACCACAAGCAGTCTTTGGATTCAATCCCGCTTCATCCATACTCTCAAAAAAAGGAGGATTGCACATGCAAAAGTCAAACTCCTCACCATCTTTGACAACACCAAGAAGAATGGGAGGACCATGATATCGCTTCTCCGAGTGGATCGTCTCCTTTGACGAGGATGAGGGCGGGGATGGCCCTACTTCCCTACCGTCCATACCATTCATAATCTTGCGTTCATTATCAACAGCTACATTACTACGTAATTCTGTCGTAAGACCGTCTAAGGTATCATCTACCTTTCTAATTTCAATAAGTTCAGAAACATGTGGATTACTTTTGACATTTCTTTCAGCCCACTCTAGAGCTACATCCGTCACATCTGCACAAAGCCGAGTGGAACCGAAAACCTGGTCATTGTTAAACATACAAATCAATGGAGAACATAGAAGTTTAAGAACAAAAGCAACTATATGGTAAGGAAGTCACCTGTCCCGACGAAACTCCACCCAAGAAGAGAGGCACCAAGAAGAGGGTAAATGCAATTTGCCCCCGTTCCTATGTCAAAACCTCTTACATTACTACCTCTATCCCTATTTGCCTTTGCAACGACATCAGATGACAAAAGATCTTCAAGCCAATGGATATAATTTGATCTATTGGGTACTGTTGGGCAGAGCTGTCCATCAGGAATCCACCTGATATGTAAAAATCTATAAAGACATCCGAATTGGACAAAAAAAAAAACATTTTCATATTGTTGGTCCTCTTGAACATATTGACATGGATTTATATTGACATGGATTTGGATTGTATTGATCCCCCTCGATGTTGAGGATTGTTGGGAGGGAGTCCCACGTTGGCTAATTTAGGGGATGATCATGAGTTTATAAGTAAGGAATACATCTCCATTGGTATGAGGCCTTTTGGGAAGCCCAAAGCAAAGCCATGAGAGCTTATGCTCAAAGTGGATAATGTCATATCATTGTGGAGAGTCGTAGTTTCTAACATGGTATCAGAGCCATGTCAATAGAATCCTCAAGTGTCGAACAAAGAAATTGCTAGCCTCGACGGGTAGTCAAAAGTGACTCATGTGTCAAACTAAGGGTGTGATTTGTTCGAGGGCTCCAGAGAAAGGAGTTGAGCCTCAATTAAGGGGAGGCCAAGGCTACATAGACCTCAAGGGAGGCTCTATGGTGTACTTTGTTCGAGGGAAGGATTGTTGGGAGGGAGTTCAACATTGGCTAATTTAGAGAATGATCATGGGTTTATAAGTAAGGAATACGTCGTGTTCGTGTTTCCTAACATATGATGGATGGCTAAATTGCATCACATAATCACTTCAAAAGGGATAAAACTCGCCATTAATCCTATAAAATCCTACCAAAAAGTTAAATGCAGCCAGAGGAAGCCAACCCCTTCTCTCCCCATTAAAATTTTCATCAGAGCCTTGCAATAATGGAAGTTCAAATTTAACTAAGCCCACAAGTTCGAAGCAGAAAAGAGAACTAAAGAAAGCAAAACAGCACAATTCTCATATCGACAGAAACTCGAACCAACAGCTATGGGGAAGGAGTGATACCAGTGAAGGGCGTGGTCGTGGAGAAGCAAAACCCGGGTAAGTTCACGGGTGGCGTTGAAGTCGGTCCAGTCGATTCTGGGTCGGGGCTCAAGGAAGACGAAGGGTTGGAAGGAAGGGTATAGAGAGGCTAAGAGAGCAAAATCTGGTGGATTTTCAGCGTATTTGTTTCTGGGATGGATTGTGGCTGCCTCTCTCGTCTTCCTCTTCTTTCTCGTCATCGCCTAATTTCGCAGCCCTCAGGGCTCTGTGTCTTGTTCGGTGTTCGTTCCTACGCTGTTATACAGGGACCCAACAAACGCTTGGTTAAATCTTCCTAAAATTTTACCAAGCTCGGTTCACATCGTTGTCAAAAATTTTAGATGGATTAGATTCGATGACTCGAATAAATTTAAATTATTTTAGATTCTAACTTAATCCAAAATGTTGAGTTGGGTTATCGAGTTGTTAAACTATATATTTTAGTATTTTTTTTTTAAAAAAGTTATATCAATTGGGTGGTGGGAGTGGAAAAGGGAGTAGCGTGCAACTATGAGCAACTATGCAATGCGGTGGCTGAGTGATGATAAGAGTAGCGTGGTGAGCTAGTGGTGTGGTGTGTGTGATAGCGAGGGGTTGTGCGATGTGGGTAACTACAATAGGTGGTGCAACAACGATATGCTATGGACTTGTCAGGTGTGTGATGTGGAAGCTCCAACTGAGAGCAAGAACAGCGTAGCAAGCGAGCAACATGGTGGTGTGTGACTACAATAAGCAATGTAGCGTGTGATGTGGTGGATGAACCTATGTAGATTCAGGTTGAACCCTATTTTTTTTTTACTCAAAAATTGAATCGATTCAGTTTTAGAGAAATAACTCAACTCAACCCTTATAAAGAATGATTCACTCCCTTTGAGGCTAACTTCCTCACTGGTATACCGCCCGAAACCTAACTAATGTGGGATCTCACAATCCACTCCCATTGAGCCTAGCGTCCTCGCTGGTGCACCGCCTGAAACCTAGCTTTGATACCATTTGTAACCACTCAATCTCACCTCTAGTAGATATTGTCATCTTTAGGTTTTCCCTTCAGAACTTCCCCTCAAAGTGATTTGTTTCATACTCTTGTAAAGAATGATTTGTTCCCCTCTCCAAGAATATGGGATCTCTGCTTGAATTGCTTGAATTACTTAAAGGTAACACTCCACTCCAAGAAGGTAGAGGGCAACTTGAGTAGTGGCTCCCATATCTTTAATTTCGACAAACTCGTTCGAGATGGTCCCCACAAGCTTGGATCTCACACGCTAAAAGAACATCTCGAGGTCGACCCATTTTAGGTCAAATCACAAATAATAATAAAATATTCCAAAAAAAACGGCAAAGAAAATAATTTAGGGATGAATTCCCAAAAGTACCCTTAGCCGTTCAGACTTCCGTCGCAAATCCCACGGTGAAGTGCTCCGTTCCAAAGAAGAGAAGAGGAAGATCCCTGGCCGTCAGATCTCGTCGGAAACCGCCCGCGTCGTTGAGAATCGGACGGTCAGAATCGAAGAATATGACCCCACAAAATCTTAAATGGAAAATTACGTCGTTTACGGATGACGGGGCGGTCTTCCCGTTTCCAAGCGTTTCGATTATATATATATAAAACCCATTTCATCTTGAGAGAAATTTGGGTTATTAGGGTTTTGCAATTGTTGGGTCTGAGAGAGATCGAGAAATGAGCGAGAGGGTCAGTGGAAAGGTGAAGTGGTTCAGTGACCAGAAGGGCTATGGCTTCATTTCTCCCAACGAGGGCGGTGAAGATCTTTTCGTTCATCAGTCCTCCATCAGATCCGACGGCTTTCGGAGCCTTGGCGTCGGTGAGGATGTCGAGTTTCTGATCGAGCCTGAAGCCGATGGCCGTTGCAAGGCCGTTGATGTCACTGGCCCTGGAGAATCTTCTGTGCAGGGAAGTCGCGGTGGTGGCGGCGGAGGCGAAAGGGGGAGTCGGGGTGGTGGATATGGGTTTAATGGCGGAGGCGGAGGCGGAGGTGGCCGAGGTGGGTACGGCCGTGGCGGCGGAGGGTATGGTGGAGGCTATGGAGGAGGAGGCGGCGGCGGTGGTTGTTTTAAGTGTGGTGAAACTGGGCATATGGCGAGGGACTGCTACCAGGGTGGATCTCAAGGTGGTGGAGATAGGTACGGAGGCGGCGGTGGCGGCGGTGGCGGTGGCGGTGGAAACTGCTATAGCTGTGGTGAATCTGGGCATTTCGCTAGAGATTGTCAAAGCAGTGGCCGTTGATGCTTAAATTGCTGACTATAACAAGGCGAGGCGATTTACTTTTGTTTGCTTCAATCTGGGGGTGTTTTGTTCGATTTTCCTTTACGTTTGTAAGGTTTGATTAGCTTTTATCACGGATTACCATTAGTTTAGTATTTCTTTACTGTCTTTTGGGTATTGAATGATGTTCGTTTCATGGATTTTAGGGGTATTTTATCAGCGATCCTTAGAAAAATAGACGATCAATGGGAGGATGAACGTTCCTTGATTCTCTGTTTCTTGAACTGTTGATAGAACTATTTCGTATACAATGCCTTCTGATTTTGGATGAATGATTGAATGATCCATATCTGATATCTCTTTTCCATTTCATTTTGATTGACAAATAACTCTTTGATTGATTCAATGCAATGGGGACTCTGCTTTTATCTGCTTTATTTGTTCCTATGCAATTATTGATGGAATGAACAGAGACTGAGAAAGGGAAATGCAGGCTGGAAAGAAGTAAAGCGGGTACACTTTTGTGGAAGAGCTGTGTGTTCATTGATTGAGATGTTTTTCCTAATTGTGATAATAAGTGAATAGTGATTGCAAACTCGTCTGTTTCCATTACTGTTCACTAAGTGCCCTTTAAAGGAGGAGCCTGTTTATAGTGGTGTTCTTTATTATGAAAGATTCCATTACTTCTGGTTATGGGTTTGAATGGATTCTCAATATCAGCTTGTTGATGGGAGAAGAAAAGGGAATTGCTTCATTTTTATTACAAGAGTCACATGCTTCTTGAATCTCCCGAGTCTCGTCTCCTTGTGAAATCCCACATCATCCCCTTGTGAAATCCCACATCGGTTGGAGAGGGGAACGAACCATTTCTTACCAAGGGTGTGAAAACCAGGGTGTTGGAGAGAGGAATGAAACATAACCAGGGTGTTGGAGAGAGGAATGAAACATAACCAGGGTGTTGGAGAGAGGAATGAAACATAACTTATAAAGGTGTGGAAACCTCTCTTATCATATGCGTTTTAAAATTGTTAGGGTGATGGCGAGATGGCGATACGTAACGAGCCAAAATAGACAATGTTTACTAGTTGGTAAGGTTGGGCTGTTACAAATGGTATTAAAGTTCGACACCGGGCAGTGTGCTAGCGAGGATGCTAGTCTCTAGTCTCTAAAGGGGATGAATTGTGAGATCCTACATTGATTGAAGAGTGGAATAGACATGGGGTGGTGTGCCAGCGAGGACACTAGGCCCTCAAGGGAGGTGAATGTGATCCCACATTGGTTGGAGAATGGAACATTGGGTGGTGTGCCACCGAGGACGCTAGGCTCCCAAGAGAAGGTGGATTGTGAGATCCAACATCGGTCGGGGAGGGAAATAAAATATTCCTACCTCAATGTGAAATTGGCGACGATACGTAATGAGCCAAAGCGGATAATATAAATTGGCTTTGAATGTTACACTCCCGCATCGCACAATGGAACTCCAGAATTAAACCGAGCAAGTTACTTTCTTTTTGGCGTAAACATTGAAAGTTACTTACAGGTTACTGTGCAGTTTAGATTGTTCAAGCAGCTAAATGCTTTTTTCTTATTCTCTTTCATTTACTCAGCTATGCAGCCTTATTTTGAACACAATTCTATAAATCCGTTTGAAAACTTATGATTTCGCCTATTCTAACCAAAACTATGATTTACTTGGTGATTTGGGTGCAGGGAGGTTCTTGCATTTTCTTTTTTAGGTACCATTAAAGAAGAAGAGGCCCACGCCGAAGTAAAAAGAGACAGGTGGATAATATAGTGTACCATTTCGGATGAACAAGACCACATTTCCCCTCTAGGCTGCAGTACAGTGCACAGAAAACACATCCCAATCATCCCTTAACCTCAGCTATTTCATCAATGGCTACCAATATGGTGGACGTGGTGCTGATGCAGCAGCGGTGGAGGTGCAGCCGTGACGTTGTGCAACGACGGTGGGAGAGTGGTTGTCTGTGGCATGCATTGGTAACACTTAGTGAAAAGCCCGAATGAGTCGATTTGATGTATAAAATTTGTCACGCTAGCCCACCCGCCAAATCCAAACCCAACGACCAACACCCAAACCACCACGAATGCATTGATCACATAAGCTCCGACCCATCTTCCGGTGAACTTAGGTGGTTGCTCCACCGCATTCTGCAGCAACAAAGTTAAAAACCATAAAAAAAAAAAAACAGATCTTTTGCAGAATCTCGTGCCTTTTTTTTTTCCAACTTATCTAGGAGAGGGCAATTCCAAAGACAGTATCTTTTTTAAACTACTAAGACAGAGACATGGGAGACTGAGCCGCTTTTCTGCTAGACTGTGACAGCACGTTACCAAAACATGGAGAGAAAGAGAAACAGTCCAGTGCGGCGTACCTCACGGGAAGCAGGTGATCGGAAGGTGAACATGTGAGCTAAAGCAGGGATGATGTAGACTGTGAAGCTAACAAGGAGAGATCCAACGGTGGAGTTGATAGGGCCAAAGAAAGGGAAGATTATAGCCAAAAACCAGATGGGAATGACCACAGGCAATCTCGCAGCTGCCCTTTTGCACAAGCTCTTACATTCGTGCATTCCAATGGCTTTCTCCCACACAAAGTACAGAGGAGTGCAAGCAAATCCAAATGTGATGAACTGCAAGAATTACAAAGAAATCAGCCTTATTTTGATGTTATAGAACAAAAGATCAGTTAAGTAAAGGAAATGGTGATATGATTATGCCTGGTGGATGAGCATTAAGATAACAGCCATGTCTCTGAGGGGTGTTCTTGGGAGAAGTGAGAAGGCATTTGAGTGATTAAGAAGCATGTCTCCAAATGCCCAATACACGGCGGCTGCTGATGGGAGTGTCAGTGTTAGCACATACACTGTGGCCACCAAGTAAATTGCCTTGAATTTCTGTGGCTTCCACATTGCATGCATGATTTCCCTGCAGTTTCCCACCAACCAAACACCTTTTCTTTAGCTAATTCCATTGAACACTACAAAATAATTGGAGTTCCAAGTATTGTTTTGAAGACTGAATTCATAAAGATATTCTAACATACTTATGCTAGGAAGAAGTTTTTACACCCTTATAAAAAATGTTTTGTTCTACTCTACCAGTGATTTGGAATCTCACAATACACCCCCTTCGAGCTCCAGCGTCCTCGTTGGCACTTGTTTCTCTTTCCAAACAATGTGGGACCCCTAGTCCACCTCCATTCGAGACTCAGTGTTCTCGTTGGGACATCGCCTGGTGTCCACCCCTGTCGAGGTTCAATCTACCCCCTTCAGGCTCAGCGTCCTTGCTAGCACTCGTTTTCTTTTCCAAACGATGTGGGACCCCCTAGTCCATCCTCATTCGCGGCCCAGCGTCCTTGCTAGCATACCGTCTGGTGTCCACCCCCTTTGAGGCCCAGCGTCCTCGCTGACACTCGTTTCCCTTTTCAAACGATGTGGGACCCCCCAATCCACCCTCATTCGTAGCCGCGTTCTTGCTGGCACACCGCCTGATGTCCACCCCCTTCGAAGTTCAACCTCCTTATTGACACATCACTTGGTTTCTGGCTCTGATACCATTTTTAACAGCCCAAGCCCACTGCTATCAGATATTGTCCTCTTTGGGCTTTCCCTTTCAGGTTTCCTCTCAAAGTTTTTAAAATGCGTCTGCTAGAGAGAAATTTCCACACCCCTACAAAGTATGTTTCGTTTCACTCTCAAACGAATCTAGGATCTCACTATGGAGAGAGAGACAAACTAAGAAACAAAAAGGGTTTTGCCCCCTGAAAAGATGATATCTTTTATACTCTCTCTCAGCTGATAAGGACAACTCAATTCAAAAAGTATATCTACAATTCCAAATATTAATTCGTAAAGACAAATTTACAAAGACACCATCAACCAAGACGTTCATAGATGCCACCAAACAATGGAGTTTTGAAGACAACAACAAAACCAACAAGAAAACATTCACAACATAAAAGACCACGACATTGTCTTACACTGTAACAGCATGCCCACCAAATGTGTAAAGAATGTTAGTAGCTCCAGTGAAGTAAAGAACCAGCTTTGTCGGACCAGAGTGCTTAACTCCCTCCACCTACAAATCCATCATCAAACCTTAAACAACAAAGAATCTCCATTACCACGCCCAATGGAGCTTAGTTTAGTGCAATATTTGATACCTGTCCATGGACGATCGAGGCAATGGTGAGGTACCAAGCTGTGTAAGTGGTCATCAACAGACCCAGAAAAGACCAAATTCTATAGTTTCTGAAGGAAGGAACAAAGACAGTGGTGGCACAACAAGCTCCAAAGATATATGTCCAAGTTCTCTTGTCTAGGTTGTCATTTATGTAATAGATATTACTGCAAACCAAACAATCCCAAGCTTAAGATGAACCAAAAACAAGCAAACAAACAAGAACAAACACTAAAAGAAGCAATTCATGATACCTTGCACAAGCTATTAATTGAATGACAGATCCAAACAGAAGGAATGTGCAATTAAATGCCAAACCCATGTTTCTCCAATGTTTTCCAAGCAACCCATCAAGAACTTCAAACCACTGAAGAACATTACAAAAACAAGCAACCCCATGAGAAATCAAGCCATCTAAAAGGGTTCAAAAGAGTTGAGTTTATGAACCTGGATGACATGGTTTCTGAAATCGGTTTTTTCCCTTTCTTTTCTTGTTCTGTATTCAATATAGAGGGCGCTAATCAAATACGCCGTCCAGCTACCGAGCAAGCCATAGAAGATTTGAAACAGCACGCCAGAAAGCATTCCCAGTTGGGAAAATGAATAGGGTAAAGTGAGCAGAACTTGAGCGACCTGTGATTTGGAGGCGAAATGATCAAACCCCAGAAGCTCAATGGGGGCTAAATCGAAGAGGGATATATACCTGATTTGAAGCGCAGCTAAACCAGGCGTCGTAAACGGAACCGCCATGCCAGAAGAGTGTGGAGAGCTTGGTTTTGGCGTTGGAACGGTTGCCGTCGGCCTCCATTTCGACATAGTTTCCGGCGATCACTGTTTCTATGACTTTATCAGTTGTTGTTGTGGTAGCCATTTTGCTCTGTTGGTGTAAATTGTGAGTGTAATGGTGGGAATGTGAAGTGGGTATTGGGTGAAGAAGAAGGATCACTGAAGAGGAAGGGTTTAGAGCTGTGTGGATATATATATACACTACATAAAGGTAGCATGTGGGCTCTCCAAGAGTGGGGAAAAGAGTGTTTTCAACTTCGAGAGGAATTTTGGAGACCCTTCTAATAAACTAAGCTCTACTTTTTAACAACTTTTCTTTTGATGGTTAGTAAACATGGGATCGAACTCTCGTTTGAATATGATTTCGTTGGAGGAAAAGTTCAAGCTCATCGTTAGTGGACGCTGTTTTCTTTACACCTTTCTTTTCGGACTTTATCTCAAGATTATAAAAAACTTCTATTGGGGAGAGGTTTTCACACTTTTATAAACAATGTTTTGTTCCCCTCTTCAACCGACGTGGGATCTCACAATCCATTCTCCTTTGGGGGCTCAACGTCCTCGTTGGTATACCGCTCAGTGCCTGACTCTGATACCATTTGTAACAGCCCAAGCTCATCGTTAGTCTAGATTGTATCTTTAGACCACACGTCTAAGCTTCCTCTCAATGTTTTAAAACATTTATGTTAGGAAGGGGTTTCCACACCCTTGTAAGAAATGTTTCATTATCTCTCTAACTGATGTGGGATCTCACAGTTAATATAGTGATGATGTGGAAGCAACCAAGACGCTTACTTGGATTAAGTGTACTAGAACGATAGTGCGTCGAATTAATAGAGTCATACTCAGATTGACAGTAGAGCGTCAGTGTACATCATACACATCTTTTTCATGCTCTACATCTATACTCAGATTAACAAAGATACATAACGATATGAAAATTTGTATTCCAACTTTCAACAATGTAAGTGTCGAAGGAATTTATCAAAATTTGAGGGACCAATTTGTAATTAAGTAAAAATGTAGGGCATATTGAAAATAGTAAAAGAGGATTAAAACAAAATAAGAGCCGGGTTATATAATTAGTGTGAGTGGGTTTTTGCATAAGTGACTATTTTGCGTTCCCAAGTAGATTACTATATTATTAAATTCAACCTTGTTATCACTAAAATGTCACCCTTTACTATTTCAAATCAAAGCTCTTCGTGAGTTATACCCGATCAAGTTGAGACATTTTTTTAAAAAAATATATAAGCTAATTATTTCTATTATAGATTTTATATAATCAAAAAAACCCGTTCATTATTCATAAATATATTTATTTTCAAACATATAGTAAAATTTCAATATATATTTAAAAAATGTGGTTGGAAAATAAATTTAAAATATATATATATATATATATATATATATATATATATATATATATATATATATATATATATAATTTATTAGAATAATACCTTAGACAAAGACAAAAAGAAAAGATCATATAAGAAAAAGGGAGAAATAAAATATTTTTAAAAAGTATTATTATTATTATTATTATTATTATTGCTTAGGAGTGATGTAGAAAGAAAGAGAGACCACATGATTGCAAACCAAATTCACTTTTCTCACGTGCCCCTCTTTATTTTTTNAACCCCAAAAAAAAATTTCAAAAAAAAAAAAAAAAAAAAAAAAAAAAAAACATAATGTAAGAACAAGAACATGGTGATTGGATGTTGGGAGACATTTTGTTTTGTTCTCTAATCTTTGTCTTTTAGGTCGGTTTGATTCTTAAACTTGGGAATGTTTAAATTTATATTTAATAAATTAATTAGAGTTCAATTTTGTATGTCTGATAAGACTCTAAACTTTCAATTTTGTTTAGAATTAATTAGACTAAATTTCCTGTTTAAGACTAAATTTCCTGTTTAACTAAGAACATTTTCGAACACGCTAAAACTAGATATACTCGGATGGTTCTTTTATTATTCTAAACTTTTATTATTTATTTAAACGATTTTTTTTCGATATTCTCGTGTAAAAGGATTATTCCTTTGGAAAAAGGAAAAAAAATCATCTATTAATGATATTACACTATTTGTAGCTACATACATAAATAATGAAAGTGAAGGAGTTTGAATTCAATTTTTGAGTGTTTTGAAGAAAAAAACACTTGAAAGTGATTGGATTTGGATGAATTTGTTTTGGACACAAAAGAGTTACTTTTTCATCTTTGCAAAGTATTATTGTCAAGCTATTAAGAAACAAGAAAACAAGGAAGGATGTTGGCATTGGGCATGCCCTAGCTATGTCCTATGAGGTATGATCGCTCATTATTTCTTAACATTACGTGGGAGATCCCACATCGGTTAGAGAGGAAAACGAAATATTTCTTATAAGGGTGTGGAAATCTCTCCTTAGAAGACGTGTTTTAAAACTCTGAGACTGATGGGGATATATAACGGGTCAAAAGGGATAATATTTGTTAGCGGTGGATTTGAGTTGTTACAAATGGTAACAGAGCCAGTCACTGGATAGTGCGAGATACTGGTCAGAGTAAGAATAAACCCTCTCCATAGTAGACACCACTAGACAGTGCGAGACACTGGTCAGATTAGAGCTAGACCATCTCTATAGTAGACGCGTTTTAAAACCGTGAGGCTGACAGTAATACGTAATGGGCCAAAGTAGACAATATTTGTTAGTGGTGGGTTTGAGTTGTTACAAATGGTAACAGAGCTAATCATTGGATAGTGCGAGGTAATGGTCAGAGTAGGAATAGACCCTCTCCATAGTAGACACCACTGGACAGTGCGAGACACTAGTCAAATTAGGGCTAGACCATCTTCATAGTAGACACGTTTTAAAATCGTGAGGCTAACAGTAATACGTAATAGGCCAAAGCGGACAATATCTACTAACAGTGAGCTTAAGCTATTATATTACGTAATACAAACTTATTTTCATATGAAACTTGGCTTGGGCTACTACAATACATAATACAAATCTATAGCGATGTAAGCTAACCAGATATCTAATTTGAGCACATTCGAGAATGGTGAGTATGTAGCACGAGCTTGACCTAATCCTTAAAATTATAGGAATGCAAATTAGAAACTAATATCGTTATGAGAAATCAAAAGGGTAATCATTAAATCATAAAAATTAGGGTTTCGAAGAGCACATACGAAGTCGGGAAAACCCTAGAATCGAAAAAAGTGGAACATATCAATGATTAAAGCTTCAAAGTGGATTGAAATCATTAGCCATAGCTGCCTAAGAACAACATAATTTGATGGTCTTGTTGGAAAAGAGAATCACACTTTTAATTACCTTCATAAAGTTTTTACAGCTGCAGTTCATAATTTTACTGTATTTTCATAATAGACAGATGAATTGGAGAAGGAATCTCACTGCTTTTTACAGAGGGAATTTTTTATCTACTTTATGTCCATTGTGTCTTCCACTTAAAGCTGCTACTATTTACCCATGTACTTGTTTTCTACCGATTCTTTGAGCCGCTTTCCGTTCGATAAAATAGAAACGATTTGATTTGAATCATCGCTATCGATTAGCATTTGGCATTGCTACTATCAACATGGATTGACAAACGATTCTGACATGAATAGAAAATTAGGGATGGTTCGAATAAAAATACATTAGTAGGAGAGCGTTCTCGTTTTGAGGGAAGTGTATGTGCAAGCAGTGGTGGAGGGAGTGGAATTGAGAATGTCGGATGGAATTGCTTCCAGTACACCTGATATGAACCAAAAGACATCAATCATACAATATACTTCAATGAAGATGTGAAGAAAAGGTTGTCAAAATTATCAAAAGATGTTTCAATTCATGCCACATTGAAGAAGAATGAAGTTTGATTGTTATAAATTTTGGGTGGGTTACAATTTAGAGTTATTGTATTTCATTTATGTATTTTAAGACTTTATTTACTATAGGTTACAATTACATAATGGTTAATTATGGCCATTAGGTATGAATGTTACAACTCTTGGAATGACTTTAGTAGTTTCATTTTGAGGCTATATAAAGCCATGTATGTTGTATGTGTAAGAGACTTGAAAAATATAGTAAAAGAAGCATTTGTGCTCTTCTTTAGCCAATGACTAAGTTTCTTTGCAATTCTATGTAGTTTAGGTTGCATGTAGAATCATTCAAGCTCGACATGATCAATCTTGCTTGTGGAGTGATTCGAATCTCAAGCAAGTGTTTTTGCCTTGAGATATTTGATCAACAAGAATCATTCAAGCTAGACATGATCGATCTTTCTTGTGGAGTGATTCGAATCTCAAACAATGTTCTTGCCTTGAGATATTCGATCAACAAGGTAATCCGAATCTTACTCCCCTTGTAGTGGTTTCTTTTCCATATCAACACCCCTGTTATAATTTTGACAACTCCATGACTAGTTTGATCATGAGGTAAGAAATAACCAGCTACACCAAAGAATGCGGTTAATACAGCTAGAACCATTCTCGAGCCACCAAACAAAATCGATGGTTTCTCACACCCACATTTTTGTTGTCCCGACAACAAGGGCAAAGTTCCGATAGTTTAGGGTTTAGGGTTATCCATGGTATGACTTTGCCAGCCATTTTATTTTATGAAATTTAAAAAGAGTTAAAATAGTATTTATATATATATATATTTATAAACTTTAGTTAAAAATTCAAATATTAACCTAAAAAATCTAAACCTACATTAGAAATTAAAATAATTATATAAAATAAAGTTAATTTCTAAGAATTAAATATTTTTTATATTATGATTGATTAAATCATATATTTTAGAAAATATTGATACATACATACCCACCAGATATTTATAAATAAATAAATAAATAAATAAGATCTCTTTATTTACAGGAAAAATAATGAGATATAGTTTGGGTTGGGCCATTTATTGTAGATTTATAAAATTTGGGCCTTGGTGGCCCTCCTCATCTATATGGGCCTAGCCCATCATTGAAGTCTTCCTTGTATAAAGTATGGCATATTATTTAATTATTTTTTAATATTAATATTTAATTTATAATTTATTATAACTTAATTGTTTAATCTAAAATATTTTATATAGTTTATTTGACTCTGATGTCAGTTTACGCTATTGTAGCTAAAAAATGACGTGATACTTTATTATTAAATTAAAAAATATATTGTTTTTTCTCTTCGTTATTATCTGACTATAACCTCGTTCATTTATTATTTAAAATGAGAAGGTACGAGCGAAGAGAATTTTAGAAGAGTAACACTTTTTCATAAACTCGAGCTTAAGATTTTAGGGACCAAAATTGTGAGATCCCACATCAGTTAGGGAGGAGGACGAAACACCCTTTGTAAGGGTCTGGAAATCTCTGGCTATTGATGCGTTTTCAAAACCTCGAGGGTAAGTCTAAAACGGAAAGCTCAAATAAGACAATATCTACTAGCGGTGGGCTTCAACCGTTACAAAAATAACAAAATTCGAGAGAATAAACAATAAAAGTAGATAAAGATATTATTTTGTCAAACAACCTCCTACCAGTAAGCGATGCTTATTTAAGTCGTGTTATAAACGTCTTGGCTAAACCTATTGATGGTCGATGTAAAATTTCAACTTCTCATCTCGATTAATTGAATTCCTCGCTCCTGGTATTATTTCGAGACGTTATGTATATGAGCCTCTTCAAACAGGACTTATTGCTATTGATTCGATGATTCCTATCGAACGTGGTCAGCGACCGGTAAAACTGCGGTGACTATTTTTTTTCATAATTATAAGGAGTGGAGGACCATTTGGTAATTTTCCATAAATGGCTAGCTTGTATTTTTGGTATTTTTTTTTTAAAAAAAATTACGTTTAATAAGACATTAAATTTTAATTGCCCAAATTTAGTAGGAATAAACTCAAATGTCGGTTATATTAGACAAAATTTAAATATATATTGAATATAGTAATTAATTTTTAAAATTTTCGTATTTATTAAAGACATGTGAAATACAAAATAAAAAATTAATTATTTATTAAATATATAATTAAAAGTTTAATTATAAGTGTTGATAGGTTGAAAAAATGAAGAGAAAATGGAAGGACATTTAATTCTTAGGCTGTCACCGCCAACACCGCCGTGGGGTGGCCGCCATTTTCTAGTACAACGGCGGCTTCCACCAACCACTCCATAAAGTTGGTACCAAAATACAACTTTCGACGGTTACTTCTTTTTGTGAATTATCCAAAATACCCCTTTCCCTTCCTTCAATTACACCACCACCCTATTCTATAACTTATATTTCCAACGTCACTATGTTCTTGAGTTTGATTAGGTCGGGTTGAGACATTTTTTTAAAAATCAATCTAATTGGAAAAGTAAAAAAAAGACATAACAGAACAAAAATGTCTATCTAACTTGATCTAACCTACTCTCGTTTAAAAGATTTTTCCGTTTCCGCCCCTAATGCCACCAATATGGAGATAATAGTCTTCACCCTTAAAAGTGAGAAGCATGTAACGTGGGCATATCGTAAAGGAATATTGAGACGTGTCGAGATAATAGTCTTCTCTCTTAAAAGCAACAAGTAACTAATGTGGTCGTGTCGTAGAGATATATCTAGGCTTTCAGTATCGAATCTAAACATCAAATTCCGGCAATTAATATGATCATGCATACCCGAATCCGAATTTCACATTATAATTTGAATTATCACAAAGAACCCTAAAAAAAATCAAATTCTAAATGTCATTTAATCTCCAAACTTCTACAATCCAAAACACAACTTTTCAATCCCAAAAAATCATACCCATTACCATTACCATCACTAGAAGCAATAATTTTGCCATTTCCACAGCTACAATTCTTACTATTCTCAAACCCCAAACTGCAAAAGAAGCAAAGACTATTCCTCCCTTCATTCTTCACGGTCGCCGCCGTGTACGGTGGCGGGCTGATTCTAAGGTCGAGATTCAAGTCCAAGCACTGTTCTTCTTCGGTCGGATTGTAACTATTCATAACTGGTTTCTTTCCATCTTCCTGATCCTCCAAGGTAAAATTGGAAGCAAAGGATATGGTGGTAGCTGGATGTTTCGCTATTGACGAGCCACTAATCGAACGGTGAGTCGTTGGGTCGATTCCTTGGCTTAAAAGCTTTCGTTTTATGTGGGTGTTCCAATAGTTCTTTATCTCGTTATCCGTTCGTCCCGGTAATCTTCCCGCTATCAAAGACCACCTGCATGGATAAAACAAAAAGTACCCGTTAATCAAAACTCAATAAAAAAGCTTTCTTGATTAGTTTGAAGAACAAGAAAATCTTATGAATCACAGATCTCCACAATAATATGATATTTTCCACTTTAAACATAAACTCTCGTGTCTTTGCTTTGAATGCTTCATACCAACAAAGATGTATTCCTTATTTATAAATTCCTAAAAGAAAGTTACCTATTTCCAAGGAGGCTATGAAGTTTGATGATGAGGTCATCTTCAAGTTGAGTGAAATTTCCACGTTTAAGATCAGGGCGGAGATAATTGATCCATCGAAGGCGGCAACTCTTGCCGCAGCGGAGGAGACCAGCGGCCTTAGGGAGGGAGCGCCAGCAGCCCTCGCCGTGAGCTTTGATATAAGCAATAAGACGGCCGTCTTCTTCCTTGGTCCAAGCCCCTTTGTTTGTATGAGCCTTCTCACAACAAGGAGACCTTCCCATGACGGAATTTTTTTATTTTTTCACTTTTTTCCTTGTGGGTTTTGCAAATCTTGAACTGGGTTGATGAGGTTTTCAGAAGTTAAAGAACAATGGAAGAAATAAAAGGCAATTTATGAATACATATGAGAAAGAAATAAGAAGAGTTGTTGAATTTTGGAACTTTATTGTGGGGGGAATGGGGCATGCGCTTTAATAGAGTTTTGACTCATGTTAAGAGAGAGAAAGAGAGAGATTTTGATAAGCTTCTAGATGTGGGTTGGTAAGATAGGTTAATTAGGGAGTGGTTGGTGGGCCCTTTAGTTTTGCTTTTGTTTAATGTTCACCATTAATCATATACTCTTTCATTAAATCTCTGGGGTAAGCTTTTTGTATATATATATATATATGAATATGGGTACGATAAAGGTTAAATTATAAGTTTAGTCGGTAAACTTCTAAAACATGTTTAATAAATTCTTAAACTTTTAATTTTGTCTCTCTCTTGTAAGTGTAGTGAAAGATTCTCGTCTCATTTGACCATTTGACTTATGGCATCATCGACTTGCTTTTAAACCTAAGTCGAAAGAAAGATCTCTTTCGAGATCAACATACGTACAACGATCCTCATGCATGAATAGCCGGGAGGAAAGAAAGGGTGGTAGATGATAATGGAAAGGGTGGTAGATGATAATGGAAAGGGCGCTACAACTTACCTATCATTTGTATAAATTTACTAGACATAAAATTAAAACTTTACGCTACCTAAATAGATTAATATCTAAAAAAAAAAAAAGTTCAAAATATGTCAATGATTTAGGAACCCATCTTGTAATTTGGCAGTCATTTATTATAAATATATGGGTAGTTGAAATCTTGAACCTTACAATATGGGATTTGTTTTGAACTTTTGAATTGGTAAGTTATTTATTCTCTTAGTATCATTTTTTTTGGCATTAAGAAGAGGGGTAGTTGTGAGTTCTTTGTTCTTTAGGTATGATATCGTTCGTACAAACCCTAGAGAGAGAAAGATCATACGAGAGAGAGATGAACGAGAGAGGGTTTCTAGAAGAGTTGGCAGTTTGGTAGAAAAGGAAGATGATTTATGTCTTTCTGTCTATGGAGGAAGGAAAAGATAGAATGAATGTATGATTGTGGGGTTTGGTTCAACTTCTCCCATTTTGGTCTCTCTTTAAATCTACAATCACACGTTTTTCTCGAACGCTAAATAGATTATTAAATGTTTTTATCTTTTTCTTTTGTTTGTGCATCCAAATTAAGTACAAGAATGAAATTTTGAACCTTTCAACCTAAAAATACGTCGCAAATGTAGATGCTTTTAAATGTTGATCTGTCGCAAATGTAGATGCTTTTAAATGTTGATCTAATTATCTTCGCGTGACGATAAAAACCTCATATCTTATTGGAAACTCATCCAGTCCACTATGAAATTTGAACTTATTTCAATAAAGTCATCTTACCTTTTCATGTGTCCAATACCATGCATTGAATTTTTGTTAAGAACAAAAGGTTAAGTTTGGGGAAGAAGAAAGGGTCACAATAGGTCACCCCATAAACCACCATACACAATTCCAATGGCAGAATCAAATTAGAGGAAGAAAAGAAGAAAAAAGAGACTTCAAAACCTTCCATATAGAGAAGTTGAAGATGGGTGAGATTTTGAGTGTGGAAATCTCTCTAGCAGACGCAAGGGAAAGCTTGAAAGGAAAAGCTTAAAGAGACAATATTTACTAACGGTGAATTTGAACTGTTACAAGATGAAACACATGTGAACCAATAAAAAAGAAATCACTCATTTCCCCTAAAGGAGAAAGAAAAACAAGCCCTTTGTTTTGATTCATCCCTACAACTAAAACTCATTATCCATTCAGATTACACACCAAACCCTCTAAACAAAAACTCATTTATCTTATAAATCCAACTCAATTCCCTCAAATCAGAGAAGAAATTTGTCCTAAAAGAAGTATTTTAGAATGGTTTGATACCCATAAAATAAAATAGCATATCATCTAACGACGTATCAACATGACAATAATAGAGCACTAAAAAGTTGTCGGGTCAGAACCGATGGGTTGAAAAAGTGGAAAGAAGGGGAGGGGAGAGGATTGGAATATGGGATGTTTGAAATAGGAAGGAGTAAATACTAAATGCAAAAAAGAAAAAGAAAAAGAGTGGATGTTGTAGGGAAGGAAGGAAGGGAGGGAGGAGGAAAATGGGTGAAAGACAGCAGAGAAGCACTTTGGGGGAGGGGGTAAGGTAAATAATGGATATAATTCAGATCAGATCATCACATGTTTAGGTATTTGAATAAGACAGACTGGTGGGCCTCTCCCAGTAAGCACTTACCTAACTCTCTACTCCTTTTCCTTCTCTGTCATGCCAAAAAACTGGTGGTTTTAATGTTCTCTGCTGCTACCAACCACCGACTACTGCTACCCTTCCCTCCTCCCACCACTACTCAACACTAATATTTTACTTTCTCCTCTCTTAAAAATTTCACCACTATTTATGTTTTCTAATGAGAATAAAGTGTATATATAGGTTAAAAAGGTTAGCAAAAAACTTACTCATAGATATTGTTCACTTTTACTTGTTACGTATCGTTATCAGCTTCACAGTTTTAAAATACGTCTGTTAGAGAAAGGTTTCTATACCTTACAAATAATGTTTTGTTCCTCTCTCCAACCAATATAGAATCTCATAGTCCACCTCACTTAGGGGCCCAACGTCCTCACTGGCACAATACCTGATGACTGACTTTGATACTATTTGTAAACGATTGTCTACTTTGGTCCATTACATATCACCCTCACGGTTTTAAAATGCATCTGTTAAAGAAAAGTTTTCACACTCTTATAAAAGATGTTTCGTTTCCCTTTATAACTAATATGAGATCTCACACTCACATAATATGGATGGTTTTTTTTGTTAGGAAATGGAAAGGATGTGGATGGTTTTTTGGTTAGGAAATGGAAAGGATGTGGATGGTTTTTTGGTTAGGAAACGGAAAGGATGCTTCGTTTTCCTTCCTAGAGAATGGGAGAGGCATGGCAAAAGTTAGTATGAGTGAAAATGATAACAAACGTACCGAGTTAGAGTAATTAATGAACTAGAGAATTGTAATTCAATTATTATATATTACTATCCCATATAAAACAAAGTAAAAATCAATTTGGTAATAATGTAAACCTGAATATAATTCACTATGACTTAACAGATAAAGCACCGATTACCATTTCAAGAGAGAACAGTTTGATTCTCATTCTCCAATAATTTTTTTTAATTCAATAATTGTATAGATGAGAGATCAAACTAACCTTCAAAATGATAATCAATGTCTTTATCCACTCAAATTTATCTGCTCTACCATAGTAGTTTCTTGGCAAATTATAGTATTAAAAAATGGGTCATTTTTTGAAAATATTTTTAAAAAACAAAAGAGCAAACCATAGAAGTACTTATTATAGGTACAAGTACTATTTGTAAGCTTAATTTGGCTGAAAATACCTACAATATACGCTTCTAGAGAGAGATAGAAAGAGAAGTATTTGGCTTATTATCAATTTCACTTTCTAAAAAGGGGCTATGGCACTCTATTCCTGGGTTTGGTGTGGAGTATACAAAAAGCATGAACAAAAGAACATAAAATTCAAATCCAACATAACAAAATAGCAGAGCAGCTAGATTTAGTGTTTGATGGAAGGGTGAGTCTGTTGGCTCTACTACAGTCTTCTAGAACCACTGAAATTTTCTTTTTGGTTGGTAAGGAAAGGGATTGGGAGTAGGTTTGAAGATGATAAAAGAAACAACCCAAAGAGATTCCCCATTCAACAAAAGGCAGCTGTGTTCTTGTGTGGATACCCACCACAAGCTCCTTACTTGTAAATACCAAAAGAAAAAGGGCTCTAAAGTTGAAATGTTCCCGAAGGCCTCTCTTAATGTTTTTCCAAACAATATTTGTCAATTCCATCCACCAGAGATCTTTCTGAACAGTTAGTTCATTTGTCCATCTTTTGGTACACTTCTTTTGGTTGTTTTTGACCACCTTGAATATTGTTATGTTATGACCCTACCCCCACTCTACTCTGTTCTTATTCCTTGATCAAATTCAAGGATCAAAGATACCCCAAATGAAAGATAATTTTACTACAGGTATTAAATGAAGCTTTTAAATACAATAAGTTAGAAATTACCCGAGCTAAATCATCCGGTGTAAGGTGTTGATCTGAAAAGGGGAAACAAGAAATTTCACAAGGAATTAAACATATAAAGCAAGATATAAATATAAATTTTTATGGTATGATGATAATCTTGCAGAGTGATGATGTTTCTGAAGCTAATACATGGAATCAGTATGATGCCTAGGTTGTCTTATTGGCATGATAATCTTCCAGGCTAGAAATGAACTCAATATTGCTATAAAGACAACTAGTCGACCTTGTCACTGTAGTTACTTCGATTTTTTGTGGATTTCGTATAAGTAGCTCAGAATTACCACAGCAGCTGCAACCGCGGCTCCAACGGCACCCTGAGCCAAAACTGTGCTGTCCTTCACAATTGGTTTAGCAGAACCTGGAGTGAACCCTAGCTCTGAAAGTTTCTTGTGTGATTCAGCATAATCTTGAAAGAATACATCTTCATCCTGTAGAAATTGACGAAAATAGAATAAGAAATGGCTCATACATATGGTAGCTGAGAAGTACTATACACACTGGCCAAATCTAAAGTTCTATCAGTGGTAATTGCAAATGGTTAGAGACTGCAAAAATTGTCTTTTTAACGGACATCTACTGTGAGATCCCACGTCAGTTGAGAAGGAAAACAAATCATTCTTTATAAGGGGTGTGGAAACCTTTCCCTAACAGACGAGTTTTAAAAACTTCGAGGGGAAACCCAAAAGGGAAAGCCCAAAAAGGACAATATCGGCTGGTGGTGGGCTTGTGCTGTTACATCTATATTCCAAATCAAGTGGACTACTTATTTAAAAATCGGATTAGGCACAAAGAAATCTTTTCATTTCCTCTTAGGATAGCAAAATAGTAAAATTTCTCCCGCTAGTCCATAATGCATAAAATAAGATCTTACTTTTGCATACAATTCCACATATTGGCGGAATTCAGGATCTTCAAGTAAGGCCTTGTCCGTAGGAAGTTTTAATAGTCCCTCTGATTCTCCTTTCAACAGTTCCCTATCAACATCAAATTGACAACAATCAGAAATAACACCATGTATGGCCTAATAAGATGATACAAGGATTAGCCTAAGATATAGCTCAAGTCCTACACAAAGTATGAGTTATCAAACTTCAGAGGATCCTCTGTCCAAGGTCCATCGAAACCAGATCTCTCCGGATGTGCTCTTCCCTATAACATCAGAATTTTCAATTAGTTAAACGATAATAAAGCCATGCAAGAATAAAAATGTGTGAAGAAATTACCAAAGTGTGACCCCCAGACAGTGCAACAATATCTTTGTCAGACAGACCCATCCTATAAAAGATGTCACGCAGATGCGGTGCACCTATCACCAAAATTAGAAAATGGCTATCGTTTAAAATATCAAGCCAGATAAGTGACAATTTCTTACCAAAACTTGAGCATCACAGCAAGAATGCCAAAAATTTGTAGAATCTGAATGTATCATTATCATTAAACCCCAGGAGAAATTAAGAAGCAACTTCCAGTAAAATACAAATAAATATGACAAGATATTTTATTAAAAAAGCACAGTTCAAATTCGAATTATCATGTCGAAAAGCATAAACTGTGATCGCATTATCAACATGATTAAATCACATTCAAGGTTGTGGCATTGACACTTATGATTCCATATCGAACCTCTAACAGCTTACTTTCATCTTAAACACAAGAGCCACAATTTGACAGCAAATTGTGCAACTAAAAAAACACTATAAAAAAATGCAGATCTTCCTTTTCTCCTGTTTGACAAATGATTGTAAAATATAATGATTATATTAAACCAGTTAGCTAGAAACTCATCCCTAATATTTTTTCATTCACAGTACATAGCTAGATGCAGAAAAGGCATTCAGATATCGTTCAGTTTGCAGGACTGCAGGAATCTACAGACAAAATAACATAATTATTATACCTTTTTTAGCATCAGGAAGTCGGCCTTCCCTGGGACAAATGTTCGAATCCTGAGAATCAAGGATTAAGATGTTACTGGAACGGATGATAGAACCATCAGATGCTACAATCATAAAGTAAACAAATAAATGTTACTCTACCTTCCTACCAGGAACAAAGTCAATAGTGGGGCCTCCAGTGACCTCAACAGCAACAACGCCAGCTAGCTGAATTGAGTAAATTTTAAACACTATCAGATCTTAGGGGATTGTAAAAAGCTTAATAGCATTGATGAATTGAGTACGCTCGATAACCTCATTATTCTTGTCATAGTAGATGCATAATAATATACGACCATCTCTGAGTCTGCCTTGGTGAATGTGTAAGAATGAAACAATTATTGATACTAAGATTTGGTACAGAGGATTTCCTGAAATTTTTGCATCTGCCTTTGCCTAACATTTATACTCACCACTGGGTACTTCAGTACCCATGGGTGTCACCTTTCGCTCACTGAGGCAATTGGAACAAATATATGAAGATTTCACTTCCAACATTTGGGGCCCAGATGATGTTTTCTTTTCCCTTACTTTATTGAAGTGAGGTGGGAAGTTCATGTGAACAGCGATTGTAGCAAATTCCTCACCAACTCCAAATGCAACTTAAATCATAATAGTTTATTATTGCCAAAAAGATTCAGCAATACTAATTACATTACAGGACATACAGTTTTAAAAATTTTCTTCGACTGTCACTGGTTCATAAAGTCTTCTTATTACAATTTTCACCTTTTCATTAAGCTTTTATCTAGGAGTTATGAAGAAGCAAATGTAAACTTGTTTGTTAAAATACAAACTTAGACATGTATAGCATGTGAATTTGAAAGAGGCATGCATCTTTCCCACTACAAAGAGATCCAAAAATCACAGTATGAATCTACTATGCTAATAAAATTTCAATGACAATATTTCTCACGCTAAGATTAACAAGGAGTGAAGTTGAAACGCTCAACGACAGTAAAAGTGCTTAACCATTGTGGAGCTTTTCATCTAATTTCGATTAATATATCATTGGTCAATCACAACATATTTCTAACGTACTTCTCACGCTAAAATTTATAACACATACAGTTCCTTACATGCAGAATCCATTCCACCTAAAATAGGATGAATCAGAATTGGTAAAATTACAAAACTGCAGGCATATCTATACTACCGTAACAGTTTCAGTTACCTGGTACAGGTCTGCATAAGTAATCTTCGGATGTTTATACTTTACTTCCTCTGTTATTAAAGAAGAAATACAAGTGTAAGTCAAATATGTTAATTTGCAATATTTAGTGAACATTCTCGGTAAATAAAAAACCACGATATGGCTCCAATATAATTTCGAAACTACAACAACAAAGATACTTCGAACCATACTCAGATAGCTTAATTGATTGACTTTCAGTTTACATGAACCTCAACGCAAAGAAGAAAACACTGGCATACCACAAAAATCAATAGCTTTTTTCAGTCCATTGTTAGATCCGTGAGAATACTCCTCCGCGTTCCTAATCGAACCATTAGGCCCGCCAGTTTTCGTACTCACATCGTACGTGCCAGCGTCGTGCCAACTTCAAAAGACGGCACAGTGTTAGAAACATTAAATCATTCGTCAGAAATCACTCCAAGAAAATCAGAGAGAAAGCAAAACTTCATTCGACAGAAAAAAAAACAGCTAAACTGGCGAATTCCTATTTTGACCATGCAAGTCTAGCAAGAACCAGCACAGAAGGAATAACAACAAGCAACTTAACCACAGATTCCTAAAGGAACCGTCCGTCTCTTTCATTTACACAACCGAACTCGCAAGAGAAATGAAATGAGAGAAATAACAATCCGATACATACAACGATTATTCCAATACTTGAAAATAGACAATCAAGGTGAATGTTGAGAGAGCATACGCCAGACGAAGCATGATCGGTGCACAGTTCCGGTTAGCAATGAGAGAGCGGAGGTGACGGCGAGCCTTATCGATCTCCTTAAGGTACTCTGTATCTACGACCGGTAACGCCATTACAGAGCAGAAAAACGAAAGGCGTTGCTTCGTACAGTAGAGAGGATACCTGATGATGAAGAAGAAGAAGAAGATGAAGAAACGATGGGATTGGATATTATAGTTAGCAGACGAGAGAAGAAAAATCAATGAATACCTCGAACTTCGCAAAAATCTGCTCCCAATTTGATAATGCGACCTCCAAAGCTCATCCTTTGGCCATGAACCGCCACGCGCCTTTTATACAAAATTTTCAGTGAACCAAAATTATTTCGTTCGTTTTATTTATTTATTATTATTATTTTCATTTTTGTAGATTGTAATTCGTTGTCGAATTTAATGCATCCTTTTAAAGAAAATTTTGTGGTTTAGCATAAAATAAATAATTTGTAAAATAGGTTAAATTATAAATAAATTTTGTATATATTAAATTTTTAGAAAAAAAATATGTAATTACATTTTAGAAAACTAATCTTATTAAATATAAATTGGAACATAATAATTCGAATGGCGTTTAGTAGATTTTTTTAATTTAAAAAATTTGAACGTTCAATGATAAAAACTAAACTCATAACACAATACGATTTACTATATGTCACAGTGTGGGCGAACGTGTCGAGACAAGTATCTCGAACTTCCTTTGAAATGGGTTTTTCAAGGATAGTACCGGGCAATACGAGTGTGCCAGTTTGCGCCCCAACCTGCGTGTTGGAGGTTGCTACATACCCCTGCTATCCAGCACAGTTTCCGTAAATGACACGACATGGATACGAGAGGGCCAATGCCTCGATAGAACCCAAATGAGTGGATGTTCGAGAAGTCCTGACGAGATGAGTGACACACGGGCCCATTCTCAATAGCATGACCGAACAAGTTGTGATGGCCGACGACATCTCGAGACTCGAGATGACATCAAGACAAGTAAGATTTAGAACCCAGAACATAGTAAGATTTAGAACCCAAGGACGATAGATGAAATATTCAGGTTCAAATGAAAACTAAACTCAAAACGAATAGAGTAAGATTTATAACCCAAGGATCAAACGACCGATGAAATGTTTGGGTTTAAATAAAAACTAAACTCACAACCTCTTTATTTGTATGGGCGATGAAAAGTATCAGAAATGAATATGTATTAGAAAAATGTGTTTCCTGTCTCTTGCTGTATTCCTCTGAAGATTTAAGCAAGAAAAAAAATGGTGAGCTTAGGATGAAGTCCTCCATTGCAACTCAATTTGAATCCTTCCATTCTTCGAGTCTATAAGGTGGTACTTTTCATTTATCCTTTTGTTCGTAACAACGTCGCCCAGACTTACCTCCACGTACCCCAATGATTCCTGTTCCAAAACACGAGTATCCTTCGTCAAGGAAAGTCGAATGATTATGTAGACAAAAGTACTTCAGAATCGTTCGTTTTGGAATGTCTTTTGAAGTATACAAAAAGAGTCTTTATAGCACTTAAAAAGTCATTTCAAACCGACCCTGAAAGTGAGTATCAGAAGAAGACTTTTGATAAGTAAAAAGACATGACACAAAACTACCCGAGTTTACTTCTTGCTCGTTCATATATTCTAATATTGTTCTTTTGAGTTTAACGGAGATTCGAACGTCTGACCTCTTAGTTAATGGTTGATGGTCTATGTTTTAATTAGTTGAGCTATTTTCGGATATAGTAACCACGTACCTTGGGATGCAAGAGGCCCATTCTTGATGAAGAGCTGAGAACTTCCACATATAATTTGTCATCTGTGGGTGGTTCTTCCAGCATAAATTCAAACTCTTCTTCCCATCTTGGGTCTCTGTTCTTCTTCAGACGCTGCCAAACAAAAAAGGACCGGACAAGAATTTGATAAATATCGATCTAAATAATCTTGCTGGTTGGTTACTTGTTAAGTGAGAGCTCAGACCATAGTGGCTTAAGAGACTTCTCTCTTGACTTCAACGGTATAAAAAACTTTCTCCGCTAGCTACGAAATTAATGCAGTCAATTATGTCTTCTCCTAGAAGTTGGTTAGCTACCTCTCATTTTGTTCTAGGATTTTTCTTATTCGTAAGCCATTTATGGCATGCAGGAAAGGAGCCCATTAGATATTTACTGTAACAGCTCAATCTTACCGCTAGCCGATATTGTCTCTTTGGGCTTTCCCTTTTGGGCTTCCCATCGAGGTTTTTAAAATGCGTCTGCTGGGGAAGAGGTGTGGAGGGAAAGAGGTTTCCACACCCTTATAAAGAATGTTTTGTTCTCCTTCCCAACTAGTGTGGAATATCACAATCCACCGCCTTTGAGGCCCAGCGTCCTCGCTGGCACTCGTTCCCTTCTCCAATCGATGTGGGACCCACAATCCACCTCCCTTTGGGGCCCAACATCTCTGCTGGCACACCGCCTCATGTCCACCTCCCTTCAGGACTCAGCCTTCTTGCTGGCACATCGCCCGGTGTCTGGTTCTGACACCGTTTGTAACAGCCCAAGCCCACTGCTAACAAATATTATCCTCTTTGGGCTTTCCCTTTCGGGCTTCCCCTCAAGATTTTTAAAACATGTCTGCTAGGGAAAGGTTTTCACACCCTTATAGAGAATGTTTTGTTCTCCTCCCCAACCGATGTGAGATATCACAATCCACCCCCCTTCGGGGCCCAGTGTCCTCATTGGCACTCGTTTTCCCTTCTTCAATTGATGTGGGACCCCCCAATCCACCCCCTCGAGGCTCAACATCTCTGCTGGCACACCGCCTCATGTCCACCCTCCTTCGGGGCTCAGTCTTCTCGCTGGCATATCGCCCGGTATCTGGTTCTGACACCATTTATAACAGCCCAAACCCATGGCTAGCAGATATTATCTTTTTTGGGCTTTCCCTTTCGAGCTTTCCCTCAAGGTTTTTAAAACGCATTTGCTAATAAGAGGTTTCCACACCTCTCCGATGTGGGATATCACATTTACCTAAGCCAGTAGGTACGTTACAACTTCAATTCTTATAAATAAGATCTCTAGAAATTCCCACTTGTTATATCAGTAACGATGATAGTAAACGTGAACAAGAATCATGAAGTACCTTGGTTCTTTTCTCTTCTCCTTTGAAGAGAAGCCTCACATATGGATTGTTATGGTGCTTGCCTTCAACATCTTGAGCTTCATGAACAATAACTACAAGTAGACCTCCATTTTCAGGCGTTCCTGCAGGAGCATCCATTACCTTCTTCTGTGAATCATCAAAATCTCCAGCTAAATCATCTTCCTTGAATGGTTTATACGTCAACTCAACCACAATTTGTCCCCTGTTCTTCTCATTTTGAACATCATTCAAGTCCATGTTCTTGAGCAGGTCAAGCGTGAAGACTTTTGGCTCATCAGGATAAAGCTCTTTCAAAGGGACTAGATTTATGCCCATTTTGTCATGCTTTCCAACCTTCAAACATGAACTATATGAGCCTAAATAGAACAGATTCAAGGAAAGGACATCAAAATTACTGACCTGCTCCCAGCCTAAATAGAACAGATTCAAGGAAAGGACATCAAAATTACTGACCTGCTCCCAGTCGAAAACTTGGAACTCTATGGCTTGGGAATTTGGATCTTTAACCACAAAACTGAACTCTTCATTCCATTCAGGATTCAAATTCTTTTGCTTCACAGTGGTCTTTTTTGAAGGTAGATTTTCCTCTGTAAGCTGCAGCTTTACATAAGGATCTGATGCACCTAAAAGGTCTTTCTTTTTTAGTCTCATTGCCCTCACAACCTTCACATCTAGGATACCAACCGGCTTCCTTAGCGCTCTATGAAATCAAAATTGATTATATTAGCACAGGAGCCTAAACACAAGTTTCATAGCATTGAAACAAAGAATATGGACATACGTTGATGGATCCATGACTGCTATATCCAAGGTTTTAGGCCATAGATACAAGTTGCCAACCTGATCTTTAATGGTCTCCTGCAGTTAAGTTTTCAATGCAATCATGAACATGATTCCAAGATCAAACTCGTTCGAATTCAACTCAATAAAGTGAGACAGATTCGCATTCTTTGAGCGTTTGAACGTTCAATCTCGCTACGAAAAAACGAAGGAAACACAGCCAAATAATGGTGTCATCTTGAGAATGGTTTACCATAGAGGCTGATAGATGTTACTTTGCTTCAGATAATGAACTATATTAACTCACATGGAAAGCTTAATGCCTATGCGCTCAGCCAGAATAAAAACATCACTACAGTACCTGGACAAAGTGGTGGAGACCTGGAATTGACATTAAGTCAGCCCCAACAAGTTTTAGGCCAAAATCAACGTGTGGCTGCAAAACCAACAGCAGAGTTGAGTCGATCAACACAATCAATAAGCCATAAGTTTTCAAAAACGTGAGAGAGAGAGTCCAAATTCTCGCCTGTTGAGTATTGTTGGGAGAGAGTCCCACATTGGCTAATTTAGGGAATGATCATGAAATTTATAAGTAAGGAATACATTTCTCCATTGGTATGAGGCCTTTTAGGGAAGCTCAAAACAAAGCCATGAGAGCTTATGCTCAAAGTGGACAGTATCATACTATTGTAGAGAGTCGTGATTCCTTACATGGTATCAGAGTTTATGCTCTTAATTTAGCCATGTCAATAGAATCCTCAGGTGTCGAACAAAGAAATTGTTAGTCTCGAAGGTGTAGTCAAAAGTAACTCATGTGTCGAACAAAGGGTGTACTTTGTTCGAGGGCTCCAGAGAAAGGAGTCGAGCCTCGATTAAGGGGAGACTGTTTGAGGGCTAAATAGACCTCAAGGGAGGCTCTATGGTGTACTTTATTCGAGGGGAGGATTGTTGGGAGGGAGTCTCACATTGGCTAGCAGATATTGTCCTCTTTAGGATTTCCCCTTCGAGCTTCCCTCAAGGTTTTTAAAACGCGTCTACTAAGGAGAGGTTACACTCTTCTTCTAAAGAATGTTTCAAACTCCTCACGTGATATTGAAATTGGCAAAGGATCAGACATTAAAAGTTCCCAGTCACAAAACTTGAGTAAATACCAACAAGAAATGGAATGGTGACTCGTGATCACAAAACCTTTTCCATGAGCGAGACGAAGATATTTGCAAAACAAGGAAAGCTTGGAACCAATGGCTTCAAGGTAATACGTGGGGCTGCAAAAACTTGCAAATCTAAAACCTGTAGTTGCCAGACAGAAGAATGAAAAGGTCATTTAAAATTTTAGGCATAGAATAAGAAAAGACATCATATTCTCACCTGAACTGTTGCTTTCAGTCCAAATGCCTTGATTGCTATCAGGACATTTGGATTTCCAGCCCATTTTATTGAAGGTTCCAATATCAGCTCCTTCTCATCAGTAACGTACACTTTCATGCCTAACAAGAAACATGATCATAAGAAAAGATCAGCTGCTATCTTGAATAGAAATAATGATGCAACGAATTAAATTCTCTGCTGCAATAGAAGAAAGGCAAAATAAAAAGATGATAAATATTCTGATAAACACCCTCACACATTTGTTGTAACAACCCAAGCCAATGTCAGTAGATATTGTCTTCTTTGGGTTTTTCCTTTCGGGCACTCGTTCCCTTCTCCAATCGATGTGGGACACCCCAATCCACTCCCTTTAGAGCCGGCGTCCTTGTTGGCACACTTCCTCGTGTCCACCCCCTTTGGGGCTCAGCCTCCTCACTGACACATTGCCTGGTGTCTGACTCTAATACCATTTGTAACAACCCAAGCCTACTGCTAGTAGATATTGTCATCTTTGGGCTTTTCCTTTCGAGCACTTATTCCCTTCTCCAATTGATGTGGGACCCCCCAATCCACCCTCTTTTGGGACCAGCATCCTTGCTGGCACACTGCTTCGAGGCTCAGCCTCCTTGTTAGCACATCGTTCGGTGTCTGGCTCTGATATCATTTGTAAAAGCTCAAGCCCACTGCTAGTAGATATTGTTCTCTTTGAGCTTTTCCTTTTGGGCACTTGTTCCCTTCTCCAATTGATGTGGAACCCCGCAATCCATCCCCTTTTGGGACCAATGTCCTTGTTGGCACACTGCTTCAGGGCTCACCTCCTCGTTGGCACATCGTTCAGTGTCTGGCTCAAATACCATTTGTAACAATCCAAGCCCACCGCTAGCAAACATTGTCCTCTTTAGAATTTCCCTTTCGGGCTTTCCCTCAAAGTTTTTAAAACGCGTCTGCTAGGGAGAGGTTTCCAAAGAATGCTTTGTTTTCCTCCCAACGAATGTGGGATCTCACATTCTTAGTCCACATGATGGAATGTATCAAAGTCCTATTTCCCTAGTCTTGAATTGCGTAAAGCATACTCTATGATCTCATCCAATCATGACTTTTTAGCTTCTTCTCCTTCTTTCAAGACATTCTAAAGTGCAGAAATAACCATCTTCAAATTCAAAGAGTTCTACATTTTCCCACATTCACAAAACAGAACAAAGATTCAATGGAAGACTTCATAAAATTTTCACATAAAATTCCTCTAATATTGAACCTGAAGAGTTGAATCACATCAGTACCTTGAAACGTCGGCGGCAAGGACCCCAATGTGAGTGCTTCGAAATCAACGGAATCGATCTTAAATTTAGGAATTTGCTCTGCAATAATAGGTTTAGCAATATCTCTTACTGTTTTGCATATCGCCTGTATCAAGAAGAAACATAAGATTTCTGAACAGACACAAGAAATGGATAACAAAATCATGCTGCTGCTGATGAGACAGATGAGTGAACCTTATCAAGATAAGGCCACATATATTGAATAAGCCTGTTAAGCCAGTCAACCTACAAAATAGTTGATACCAAAAGTATCAGATAATTCAGTGAAAATGCAAAACCAGAGGAATTTAAAGCAAGTTACATACACGATCATAATCTGGACATTTCACCCAAAGTGGGATCTCAGGAAGCATTTGCTGCAATCTTATTGTGTCCTCTTCGACAAGCGGTCGAATCTCAGGATCCTGAACAGACCATTTCAGCATAAGTTCTTCAAAATCCATAGAATGTAGGATAGGTATTATAAGGAAAGCTAACAAAGCTGTAACGACTCAAGCCCATCAAGCCCACCGCTAGCAGATATTCTCCTCTTCGGGCTTTTCCTTTTGGATTTTCTCTCAAGGTTTTTAAAATACGTCTGCTCGGGATAGGTTTCTACATTCTTATAAAGAATGTTTCGTTCTCCTTTCCAACTTACGTGGTATCTCCCAATCCATCCCCTTTTAGAGCCCAGCGTCCTTGCTGCCACACCACCTCGTGTCTACCCCTTTCGAGGCTCAGCCTCTTTGCTGGCATGTTCGGTGTCTGTCTTTGATACCATTTGTAATGGCCTAAACCCACCGCTAACAGATATTGTCCTCAACTGTGTCAGTTGGTATAGATGAGTTGATATAGAGTCAAACACCAGTCACCAATCCAAATGTTCATATGTTCATATTGGGTTGACTATGATCTGAACCCCTTAACGTATGATCAATCCAAACATTTCTGTAATCTCTCATTTTCGAATTCAACATCATATGAACTCAATTTCCAATTAATTTTAAACATTCCTACATAATCCTACTCCATTTGCTTCATAAAATACTCAGTTAAGATATTAAATCCTAAGTGGTGACTATGATCTGAACTCCTAAACTATTTGCATTCACTCTTACGGTTCAATCCAAACGATCCTATCCTTTATCGATCTTATCATGGATTGCAAAGATCGTATATAAAAACCAGATCTAATTATATTAGTGTTTATAATAAGTTCTTATTAGTAAGGAAACTCGTGGTTATGGAAGCGAATCTGTTGGTATGAAACACGTTCTGAAATCTCCTTGTAAATGATCCAAAGCAAATAAATACTAACCTCAACATTATTAGGTTGAACATAGATGAAAAGGAAGTAACCAGCAACAAGGCCGATGGAGATGCCGACTCCAAATCCAAAAAAACCCAATATAGTACCGAAAAACCCCATCTCAATTCCTGTTCATCGACTTTCCGGCGCCTTCAAACTTGCAGATCAATGATTCAATAAGAATATTCTACAGAGGGAAATTTTGGAAGATCCCAAGCTTCCTTCTCGATTTCAACGACCAAAACAACGGAATCGAAAGCCGACAGTCAATGGAATGATGATTTTAAAAAAATCATTGAAATCGAAGCATTGATCTTCTAAAAACAAGTAGCGAATGTTGTAGTTTTTGTTTTTTCGGGATGGTTTCGTTTTTTTCGCAAAATTTATGAAAAGATTGTTGATGTTTCAATTGGGGGAACTCGGAAACAGCCAACGATTTGATTCGCGGTTTTCATGGCGTGGCGCAGAACTTGATCCAATTGCTTTCTCTCATTTAAAGCGGGAAAATTTTAGTACTTCTTTGATGCCACGTGTCATTCGGTGGGGGTGCTATTTAATTTTAAAAAAAGTTCTCTTTTACCTGAATTTAGCCGGTAATAATTTCAATTTTTATTCTAAATTAGAGTTTGGCATCAAATTGTTTCTTTTTTTTTTTTTCTTTTTTTTTTTTTTAATAATAATATTGGTATAATTTTTTTTAATTTACAAATTTCAATTAAATTTAAATGTATCATTTTTTAAAAAAAATTTAAGCTAAATTATGCAAATATTCATTAAAATGAAAATCAATTATGAAAATTTAATCTCATTTATCAAAATTAAAAAAAAAAAATCAATTTTAGTTATTGATGAAAGAAGATTAGAAAAATAATCAATATCCGTAGGAGTTATTACCTCCATCAACATCCAACGTTCATTTGGGTTAAACAAGTTCATGGTATTCACAAGCCTTTAGATGAAGGCTCTACTAATACAAGTCAAGGAGAGAGAGTGATTGAATATCTCGAAACTCTCTAAGCCCATAATTTAAACAAGAATTTGAATGTATAACTTAATCCTGATAATCCTCTAATTATACAAATTAGTGTTCCATTATAATTTAGAGGTCTCTTATCATAAGCCTACTTCAATATATTTTTTTAATAATTTGTTTATAATAAAAATAAAATATTAATTTGTAAAATTATATTTATTTGTTTTCAAATTAAGGTTTATTTAAATATCAAAAACCAAATTGTAAAAAATTATTAAAAGAATTTAAGTTACAAATATTAATTAATGACTACTAAGAATTCAAAAATTATTAAAAGAATTGAAGCCATATTGAGATAACAAAAACTTAATTTATTCATAATAAATAATCATAAATGATAAGGGGGAAAAAAAAAAAAAAAAAAAAAAAAAAAGATTGAGCTTCAAGGAGCTTCAACTCTAAAGGGAGGATGATTTCATGGTGTTATCAGCAGCAGGCAGAAGGCAGAAGGTAGAGCAGACCAGCCTCCCTTGTCTCTTCTTCTTTCTAGACGCTGCATTTTGCTTGAATCGCTATTGTCTTGCCATCACACTCACTCTTGAAGTTGCTGAACGCATCCAATGGAATTGAACAGCTATCTTTACCCAAACAATACTGCAACAACAACACCAAAAACCCATTTCAAAAGGGTTTCAAATTTGTAAACAGGTATTGTATTGTATTGTATTAGTTTGTTTTACCTGTTCGACGACTTTCTGTGTCTCAGCGGCTGAGTTGCATTTCCCGTGTTCATAGTTTCCGCAGACACCAGCAGGTTCACCAAAGCTTGCGAATTCAATGGCGGCAATCTTCTTCTGATCGGGGCACCTGAGATGGGCACCGGATTTCACATCATCAACCACCGCTCTGAATTGCTTGTTCTTCCTTTCCCAGGACTTGACGTTTGGTGGATGATATTGGGTTATGTAGCTGCAGATTGTGTCTCTGTTTACCAGTACGATTTCAACCTTTTCAGGTGTGAATGGCTCTTCTTCCAATATCAATAGGAGATTTTGTTTTGGCTTTATGAAGGATCTTGGAATGTGGTAGTCTGCTTGTGTGGGCTGTCTTAGAGGGGATAAGTAGGACATCCAATATCGACCAATGCTTTGACCATTCACCCAAACTTGTCCCTTCCCCATTTTGTTCATTCTAATAGCCACTGGATCGTTGCCTTCTGGAGCATCGAAGTATGTCTGGATGCAAGAAAATCAGTGAGTTTAGTTTAGTTGAGTTGATTTGATTGTGTTTTTCATGGGGTTGCCTCATTTTCTGTCCATTACTAGAGCTTATTAAGAACATTACCTTGTACCAAGTGAGAGCAGATTTTTGTTCTTTGATGTCACTCCAATCAAACTTTTGTGATCCTTCCTCGGTGAAAATTTTATTTCTTTCTCCGTTGAGACCAACCTGGTGTCCCCAACCATTCTTAGAAACATCAAGTGTTCCAGTATTCAAACCAAGGATGGTAATGGATCGAGGTCCTGCAAATCTGTGTTCCATGTACGCTCCACTATCCTGTTATGACAAAAGAACTTGTAATTACATTTTCTAGAATAGAATCAAACCGAACGAACAATCAATGGTGTATTCCACATACAGGAAGTCCAACTAATGTGCCTAGCAGGGCTATGTGGTTAAGTCCAGCCTTGAAGGGAACTGATTTTTGGAAAACGAAATTCTTCTCTTCATGACTACCATGTGCCCCTCCAATATATTCGCCATTAACGTATACAAGCATAGCATGACCAAGACTTGCAATACGAATGACAGGAAGAATATCTGGGCGCTTTGACACATCTTCTATGTCCAATTCAATGCTGTTTATCAGTTGATGATAGGATGTTAGATAGATATCATTTGGGTTAGTTTTTTGTTTTAAAAAGTGATTGAAGTTCATATTACCTAGTGGTGTACCATCCGTAATCTGTGGTGTCCTTGAGTAAGGTGTAGAGCTCCAATGGTATCTTATTATTTACTGGGATTTGCTCAACAGTTGGAATGGGTTCAGAGTACATTTTCCATTGGAAATTGGTTGCAACCTTTGATGGGACGAAGTTCCTGGCATTGTGCTGTGCTACAATCTGTAACGGAAGAGTCAATTAGAGCCCTGAGGAACCATGAATCTTGAGTTTGTTCTTATGAGAGAGGTGTTATACCGTTTGAGTGTTGTAGACAACAGTGGTACAGTCGGGAAGCACGCTAATTGATCGAGGAGGAAGGAGATAATCTCGTCCCCCGAAGTTAACAGTTTGTGCAAACTTGGTGTCATTGTTGGCCAAGAAAGCAGCACAAATGTTAGTTCCTGGCTTCTCATAAATGCGAGCCTCTAGGCCCTGGCCCATCACTTGGGTTCTAGGAGTTCCCCAGAGGAGAGGCTTTTTGCACAAATTCAAAGCCTTGTGCACATCCCTGAGATGACCCCATTTGGGCTCCCTTTGCAAGCCTTTCATGTCACAACAGTGCAACATTTAGACGTTTGAGCACAATAATTGGTTGAATTAGCCATGAAACACACTTACCAAACTCGTCAAGTGGTGCTTCATCGTAGTATCTGGTTGTTGTAAAGACAGCACTTGTTCTTCCAAAGTTTGTGCCACCATGGTACTGTGGAGGCTCAATAGATCATTTGGTTGCCATTGAAGTAGAATTCAACCAAAACAAGCCATAGATTTCTTACCATGTAATAGTTAACAAGGCTCCCGTTCTTGGAGAAGAATCTGGCAACGGAATAGGCAATATCTTCTGTAGCTCTTTGGGAAGGTGGGTCTCCAAAGACACGGTATCTAACAGTTCATGTTTAGTTAGTACTTTTGTATGAATTATATTCAAATTGTAAGCAAGATTAGGTTAAATGCTTACTGAGCAGTCCAATTCTCAGTCCACAAGGCAGGCTTGTAGGGCTTGTTGGGACCGGTGAAGGTGTCACCGCAGTGCCTTCCGTTGCAGGTGTTGATCTGAACAATACAAGCAAGATTCTTAGTTTCTGATCAAATCATAAGGCTTAGAACACCAAGCTTACCACGGGATCAGGAGCATCCTTTTGCTTGCACATGACCCATGGAACTCCAATGTTGTAGCTAATGGCCAAATTTGCAGCCCATTGGACGTATTGGACACCGAGCTCATCATAAGCAAGTTGAACATGGTTATATTCATTTTCAATCTGAGCCAAAACGATGGGTCCTCCTTGAGAAGCAAATAGCTTATTTTCCTTCATCATGTCTATGATCATGGTCACAAATTTCTTCATGTAATTCTGCAAATGAAACAGTTCTGTTTTCTTTAGTACCCACAAGAACTCCAATCTCTTCAAAATGTAAAGATTGCAGTCATTTTTTACCTTGAATGGAGCGTTGTATGATCGGAAAATAATGTTTGGTTTCTCTCTGAGCCAATATGGAAGTCCTCTGAATATACAGTGAAAAGAACGCATCTTAGAGATGAACACAAAGAATTACAGAGATTTTGAAGCATGATCGAGGAGGAAATGATGATCAATACCCATGGTTCCATTCAGCTTGGATGAAAGGTCCAACTCTTAGAGTTACAAACATCTTTTTCTCTCCAATGATTTTGATGAACTTCACCAAATCATAATTTCCTTCGAAATTATACTGCACAGTGCAAAAAAACACTCGATTCAAGATAAACTCATCACATAATCAATCAAACTCGACCTGAGATCTTCAGATTTACCTGGCCTTCAATTGGTTCATGAATATTCCAGAAAACGTAAGTTTGAATCACATTCAAACCACCACGCTTCGCCTTCTCGAGAATATCAGGCCACATCTGCAATCAAGAAACAACCATTAGGTATCTCTGTTTTTTTTTTTTCTCCAGATTTTTTCTAGATTAACTTACATCAGATGTACTTCTGGGGTAATGAATGGAACCAGAGAACATAAGTTCTCGTTTGCCATTAACGATGAGCGATCTGCTATCGTAGGTAACACCAATGGTACGATTTGCAGCAACACCAAGAGCCAGAACGGAAAGAACCAAAGCAACAAGCATTTGTTTAAGAACCGCCATGGAATCGATCTTGTGGATTTTGGATTGGGAGTTGGAATTCAGTGAATAAACAGGAAGAACATGGAAGATTAAAATGAATACTCAATGGCTAACGTCACATTAGAGATTGAGACTCCGAGAAGCTGATTTGGAATGGTAATGGAAGATGGTTTATATAATGTTACCTCTGGAGAAATTCACGGAACTGAAGATGAATCTCTTGGCTCTGAGCTCTTCGCCATAATTAGGGCTTCGAGAGAGGAAAAGATTACAGAGAGAAGGAGACGGTGGTTAACGATATTTCGAAATTGGCGGGCTTAATGAGATTCTATACTCTGCGGGCACTTACTTCGATTTTTGTGCACTTTCTTCAATGGTTATGCTACACGTCAGCTTTCCTTTTTAGAAAAATACACCTTTGATATATAT